TCGAGGTCCTTTTTGCTCTTACTTCATTAAAGAGAAGTACATTTCAACTCTATCTACTTTTCAATTCTCATAAACAAGAAAACATATCTAACCAGTTGTCGATGACTCATGCTGGTAATTTTAGCTACTCAGGAGGCTGAGAAATGAGGATCACATTTCAAACCCAGCTGGGCAAGAAATGTCATTAGACTCTTATTTCGAGTTAACTACCAAAAAGTTGAAAACAGCACTGTGACTCAAAGTGGTAGAGCACTAACCTTGAGCACAAAAGCTCAGAGACAGTGCCCAGGTCCTGAGTTCAAGCCCCAGGACCTGCACAAAAAAGAAGAAAGGAAGGAAGGGAGGGAGAGAGAGAGAGAGAGAGAGAGAGAGAGAGAGAGAGAGAGAGAGAGAGAGAGAAAAGGAAGGAAGGAAGGAAGGAAGAAAGAAAGAGAAAGAGAGAGGAAGAAGAGAGAGAGGGAGGGAGGGACAGAAGGAGAGAGAGAGGGGGTAGGAGGGAGGAAGGAAGTGCAGGGAAGAAGGAAGGGGAGGGAGGAAAAGGAGAGAATGTAAGTAAATTGAAGTCTAAAATATGAAAAATATGTATTTTTAAATTGTATGGCCAACGTAAACTCAAATTAGAGGCACATAGTATCAAACTAGAGGTTACAATAAGCCTAAACACAGGGAAAATGCTTTCCTGATTTTGTTCAAAGGGCTAATAAATCTGTTATTTTGAAACTCAAAGTTTAAATTGATACTCATTCTGGACAGTTTGCTGATAGGCTATTAAAAAGATGGGTTAGAATCTAAACAGAGTTACTGGGAACCAGCATGGGTAGATCAAGTGGGAAAAGATAAACAGGAGAGGTTTTTTTTGAGAGTTATTTTTAATTATGGATGACTTTGAATATGGGTCAAATGAAAATGGGGAAAAGAAGGAAAATCAAGAATATAATGTGTAGTGGGAAATCAAGGTCAAGGGCAGTTAAGAATTTCATTATTACCATAGCTAAAAAGCATTTCATAAAAAGGATGCAAAATGTTCAATTTGAAGTCATTTGCATTAGTGTAAATTAGGCTTGTGTTAGATAATTTTATGAGCAAGTTCTAGGGAATTACATAACTGTTTATAGATCTTTAAAGAAAGAACAGAATTTCAGGCAAGTAGCTGCAGATGCACATCCATTAAAGCCTGAACCTGAATATGTGGGGACAAAAGATGAACCTTCACAGAGACACAGAAACCTTAGAGAGGAGCCTGCGTTTCCTAGTGTTTGAGGTGACTTTATTTCGCTCCAAATAAAAGATCTACAACACACATGTGAGCGACATGAAAAAAAAAAATCCCAAGCATGAAGAGTTTCGTCTTGGTGTTAGAAACGATGGAATAGCTGGTGTGTCAAGATAGAATCAGAGGTTCCAATGTGACAAGAAAAAGATAATCAAGTGCTGACTCGGGGTTGGGACAACAATGGAAGAAGAGTTGTAAATTTATAGATGGGGGAAAATTACACATATGGGGACATCAAAAATAAACTTTTGCTGATGGCTCATGCCTGTAATCCTAGCTACTCAAGAGGCCAAGACCTGAGGATTGGGGTTCAAAGCCAGCCTGGTGGTAAAGGCTGTGAGACTCTTATCTCCAATTAACTACCAAAAATGGCAGAAATTGAACTGTGGCTCAAGTGGTAGAGCAAAAGCCTTGAGCAGGAAAAACTCAGGGACAGTTCCCTGGCCCTTAGTTCAAGCCCCAGGACCAGCACAACAACAACAAAAACAAAAAAATGAACTCTTCAAATGTAAGAGAAAACAATGCTGTGAATAACAAAGTCCTGAGGGGGAGACCAGGTAGTGGTTTGAATTACTGATTCACTTCAAGTTTCTGGCAGAGGAAAAGCCTGAGATCAGTTTCACAAATACTGACAACATTTTAAGAAAGTCATTTCAGAGACCGGTGCAATAGCTCATGTCTGTAATCCTAGCTATTTGGGAGCCAAAGAACTGGGAAGGATTGCAAATCAAAGCCAGCCCAGACAAGAAGTTCACAAGACTTCCTCTCAAACACTAGCAGGAAGAGGGTGGTGTTGTGTGCTTGTCATTCCAGATATACAGGAAGTGTAAATAGGAGAATCATTGTCCAGACCAGGCACAAATGTGAAAGTCTAATTTAAAAACAAGTAAATGAAAAGAGCAGAGGCATGGCTCAAGTGGTAGAACACTTACCTAGAAAGTGTGAAGTCCTGTGTCCAAACTCCTGCATGGATTTTTTTAAATCTACAAACATTTAATTAGATATATAAGGATAATAGGGAAATAACTTATTATCAAAATTATAAGTGACATATCTACAGAGATGCAAACCTGTAGGAAAACTGCGCAAAGTTCCTTCTTCAGTCTCAATTTATTCCCTGACAAAGGATGAGACTAATCCACCCACCAGGGCTACGAGCCAGACCAACTCCCACTGCTTCAGACAAAATCTACTGTCTTTCTTTCATCCTTTCCCAATAGCAAATGATAAACTGGTATGCAATTACATGCTACACATACAGAAATATTTATAGAAATATTTATATTATATTTATGTTTCCCTGGAAACATGCATTTCAGAAACTCAGCCCCTGGAGAGGAGTGAATACCACCAGAAAACAAGCAAGATACAAGGATCTGACTTCTGCTTATACAGGTGATTCCCATTATTTAAAAGAGATTCTATTTATAAAAGGTCATTGCCTTGGGACTAGGAAGGTGGCTCAGTGGTAGAGTGCTTGCCTCACATGCATGAGGCTCTGGGTTCAATTCCTCAGCATCACATAAATAGAAAAAGCCAGAAGTGAGAAGTGGGGCTATGGCTCAAGTGGTAGAGTACTAGCCTTGAGCTGAAGAGCTGAGGGACAGCGCCCAGGCCCAGAGTTCAAGCCCCACGACCGACAAAAAAAAAAACAGAAAGGTCACTGCTTACTAGAGAAAATAGGCAGAACAGTGTACCATACAGAAAAACACAAGTCTTTCAGAGGTAGCAAATTATACTCCTTGCCAAGCATTTCTGACTTTTGTTTGTTATTACTTGCAGGCAGTAGAACTCAGGGATTAGTGAATGCTGAAAGCACTCTCTCACTGAGTTTGGTCATCTTAAAGAATATATCTAAATTTAATATCCAAAGAAGAGGTAGAGGGAGGTAGACGGTTGAAGCACAGACATTTCTGTGAGTTGAATTCAGCTTCATATCTAGGCGAGGCCTGGAAGTTCTTCATGTATGTTCAGCCTGGACACAGTCAAGACAGGACATGCTCCAGAACTCCTGTCTGATCAACTGTTCACATTTCTACCGAGGCACAAAGTGCTGGCTATTTTTATTTTTAATAGGACTGAAGTGCCATCATCCACTTCGAATTCTCCATAGTCTTTTAGACACCGCACTTCAATATATAGGCTTTTCGGAGGTTTCCTATCCTGTGTGATATCCAAACCTTCATTTCCTCCCAGTGACCTCATGTAAGTAGCAAGGATCTTTTTATAATGATTGAAGCACTCCATTTCTTCAGCAGACATGTGAAATCGTAAAGCATTTGGCAAGATGCTACCATAGTCCCACCTGAGAGCTCTAATCCGAAGTGATCGGTCATACAAATAGGCTACAGCGCAGCGCTGATTTCTTAATAAAGAACAATGACGAAATTTGATGGTTGGTATCAGATCACCTCTTCCACCTGACTTTGTTTCATTCACATCAGACTGGTTTTGTTCATATGATGCTTTTGTCTCTTCTAGAACTTGTCTGATTCCATCCTCGTTGAAAGCAGGCAGCTGTCCCTCAGGCACGAGGTGCAGCTCTCAGACCAGCTTCATGGCTTTTTCGCCGAACATGGTGGACATGCCCTGGTGGCCTTGTCCAGTCAACCGCCGGGTCTCAGGACAAATGGCCATAGGCTTCGGCAGCCTCACCCTTCTCGTTGGGCCCCTCCATGGATGTTATAAGTCATATCATCATTCGCATTAGTTCAGAGAAAATGAAAAATGATGTATGAACAGCTTCCTATGAAGCCTTGACTATTGTCATCTTTCTTATTACCATAAACACTTTCTGAGGAAAACATGTATAGAGACCCTGACAGATCCAGTTGACTTAGCTCACTAATTACTAATGATTCATTTTTCTCTCTCTTTTCCTCTCTCTCCAGGGCCTGGCAAGTATTAAGCACATGTTCTGTAAATGAAGTCTCCTCCCACCTTCAGCTTGATTAGTTCTTAATTTAAATAGTTCTTAATTTAAAGAGTCAAATGCAAGAAAGTAAAACATTTGCCAGAAAATAGAAGATATATTTTAGGGAAATTGGCTAAGGACTCATAGTTCCGAGATTTGTTTTCAAGGTTCAGATTGAAAACCTGAAGTCAGGTAACCAAGAGAATGGACTGCAGTTAGGGAGGGTCAAGACAGAAGTAAAGGCACATGCCTGTAATCCTAGCACTTGGAAGCTGAATCAGGAGGCATCTCCCTGGGCTACATAGAGAAACCCTTTCACCAAAACAAAGAGTGAGGCAAGTCCAAAGGAATACACACTGAAAGGTAAGGCAGCCAATAGCTATAGTAGAGAAGCAGGGAAAGTTCCTTCCAACTTCTAGAAGGACCAGCCATCACATTGCCATTAATACTTGAGAATGTAAACTGTACAGTTGATGCATGAGTTAAAGATAAAACAGTAACCATAGCCAACACTTTAGACAATGTTCTAAGTACATAAATTAACTCATTCAAATTCACCCTATGTGTACCTACGAGGGAGACACAGTTATTGCAATTAATTATTGTGCACTGAGGAAACAGATGCATACACATCTCAGAGAAATGGCAGAGACAAGATCAATCAACAATGCAGCCACTTGCAATGTTCTGCCTTAACAGGTACATTTTCGTTGTTGGTAAATAAATCAGGTCCTACCTTTTATAGCATAATCTTCAGATCTCAGATAGTCTTTATTCATACAATTTCAAGAATGCAATTGATAACATCTCTGCTAGAATTTATTATTGTAAATGCTTTTTGTGATTTGACATCCACATGATTGTCTATGGTTTATTGATTGGATGTATCTTCTTCCAGGCACTGAGCATGTGGTGGGAAACAGATTCATGATGGTCCTAGTCTTAAATAGGGGCAGGAATAACCCACTTCAAAGAGACAAGGCAGGTAGAACTTAACCTCTCTTCTTCCTGAATCCTACCAGGATACTGTACTATCTTGGTTCACAATTGTGTGGAGTTCATCCTCACTACTACTTCTGAAATTGTATGGTATGTAGAGCTAGGTGCCTCTTCATTACATGCTGCTCTTCGGTTTTAGATGGTGATAATGGCTTCTTTCTTAATGGCTTCTTTCTTCTTTCTCCTTGCCATGGAAACTATTAGAGACATTCCTTTTTTTCTCTCTCTCTTCTGTGTTCAGCCACTCTTCACATTGTTGCCAAGGAAAACCAGATAAGTATTAAGTGTAATATTACTTTAAATATCCTGTGTCTAGATAGAAAGTGCATGACTTTTATGACATTATTTTGAACTAGCTTTGGTCTCTTCTTGCATTTATCAAAGGATTTTTTTTTTATCAGGATTGAGGTTCTTAAGAGTTTCAACATCAGATAGGAGAGTCCAGATAAGGTTTCTGGGGAACCTGGGAAAAGGGCAGTTTTATGGCATATGATTGAGTAAGGCCTGAAGATCTGACTATTTGGTGTCTCTTCTGTTCAATCTGATGCATTCCCTTTAACATCTCTTGTAGTGAACAACTGATGATAATAAATTGTTTTGGAAACTTCCTTAGTTTTATTTTATTCTCATAGGATATTATGGCTGGATTCAAAATGTGGAATTGACAGTTTTATTCTTTTAGGCACTTGAAAATATTGTTTATTTCCTTCCTGGCTCCCCTTTTCTGACAAAAAGGCCAAAGATGTTAAATGACTTTTATCCTGATATGTAATGTATTAATTTTTTCTGGATATTTTTACAATTTCCTCTTTATTTTTAGTAGTACATTGTTATGTATTGTTGTTTGGCAAATAATTCCAAACTTCACATTTATTATTGCATGATTTCTGTGGAGCACAGAAATTATGGACATAGCTTTTTGGGTCATCAGGCCTTGGATCTCTCACAGGCTATATTCTTGTCAGGCTTGAGGGTGAAGAATCTGCACATGATTCACACAGCTATTGTGTATTCTGTTCCTTGTGGGCTGCTGGCCAGAGGTCTCAGGTTCTCACAAGCTATTGGCCAGAGGTCTTCCTTAGTTCACTGACACAGTCATCTCTATAACACATCTTACAACATGGCAGCTTGCTTCATGAAAACAAGTAAAAGGAGTCTAGAGGGTATGAGACAGAGAGAGAGAGAGAGAATCACAATTTTTATATCCTAATCATAAAAGTGGCATTCTACTAGTTTAGTCTTATTCTGTTCAACAGAAACAAGTTACTAGGCTCTTTCCATACTTGAGAGGAACAGATTATACAAAAGTGGAATAAAAGGGAGCCGTGTCAGAAACTGTTTATGCAGTTTGACTATGGTATACTAGACAGGGCTTCCTTTGTATATTTACCCTAGTTGACTCTTTTCTTCTTTCTTTCTTTCCTTCCTTTCTTCTTTCTTTCTTTTCTTTCTTTCTTACTTTCTCTCTTTTCTTTCGTTGATTGTGAGGATTGAACTCTGGGCCTGGGCACTGTCCTTCAGCTCTTCAGCTCAAGGCTAGCACTCTACCACTTGAGTCACAGCACCACTTCCAATTTTCTGGTGGTTTACTGGAGATACGAGTCTCACGGACTTTCCTATCTGGACTGGCTTTGAACTGTGATACCCAGTCAGCCTCCTGAGTAACTAGGATTACAGGTATGTGTCACCAGCACCCAGCCTAGTTGAGTTTTACTGAGTTTGTAAATGTATGTCTTCCACCAAACTAAGGATGTTTTGTTGCCACTAATATCTCACTTCCTACCCTTTTTCTTTTCTTTTGGGATTACAACTGCCTATATTTTGGCCCTTTTGATATTATTTCTGATGTTCTTAAGGCTCTATTAACTTTTTCAAATACATTTTTTTCAGAATGGAAAATTTCTATTGATCTAACTTGAAGTTAACAGAATCCTTTCTTTGTTCTTCTATAAAGTCTGCTTTATTAACTTTTCATTTTAGATATTATTATTATTGCTGGTATTGGGCGTGAACTCAGGTTGTAAGTGATATCCTTAAGGTTTTTTGCTCAAGGATAGTGCTCTACCACTTGAGTCACAGTTTCACTTCTTGCATTTCTCAGGGGCAGGGGGTGGTTAACTGGAGATAAGAGTCTCACAGTCTCACAGACTTTCTTGCCTGGACTGGCTTTGAATCACAATCCTCAGATCTTAGCCTCCCACACAACTCAGATAACAGGCATGAGCCACTATCGCCTGGTTCAGATATTAAATTTTTAAAGTTATAAAATTTTCCTTTTAGGGGGCTGGGAAGGTGGCTCAGTGGTAGAGCGCTTGTCTTGCACGCGTGAGGCCCTGGGTTCGATTCCTCAGCACCACATAAGCAAAAAGAAAAAAGCCAGAAGTGGCGGTGTGGCTCAAGTGGTAGAGCGCTAGCCTTGAGCTGAAGAGCTGAGGGACAGTGCCCAGGCCCAGAGTTCAGGCCCCACAACTAGACCCCCCCCCAAAAAAAAATTCCTTTTAAAAGATAACAATATTATAACCTTTATTACTTATTTCTCCAAGTTCTTTAGCATAGTAGTAGCTTCAGAAAATCAAAGTGGTTGGGCCTCTTATAACCTGTGAAAAAAAATCTTTACTTAGAAGGTATTTAACAAAAAGTTAAAAGTTAACAAAAGTTTGTTGAGATCAAAGTAAAAGCAGTATCCAGCAAAGAAGCAAAAAATGGGTATTTGTTGGCTTATTTTGAGAAGTCAGGCACACTGATAAATTTGACTAGTGGAATATCAAGAGAAAGTATACATCTTAATTCACAGACAATGGAAGTTGTAAATCTGAGTGGCTGATTTGAGTTTTAATGCCTTTGCATAGTCCCTTTCCCCTTCAGTGTGGACAGGATTTAAGACTTTCTTTTAAATAATATGATACAAATGCTACATGACACTCCTGCAATTGTGTTATTTAAGACTATTTTGCCAACAGACTCACTTTTTACTTTCTCCTTCCTGGATTGGTGAAGTCAATGGCAATACCGCATGGCAAAGAACTAGAGATGACCTCCAGGCTCCATCTAGGCAATAGCAACAACAACAAAAAGGCGGCCGCGGGGGGGGGGGGGGTCAGGGGACTTCAGACTTACAATTACACAGAAACAAATTCTGCCAGCTACCCAAATGGACTTGGAAACGGATTTTTTTTCCTAGTGAGGTCTCTGAATGAGACTTTCCTAGATAACAAACACCTTGATTGTATCATTTCAAAGGATCTAGCTAAGCTATTCTTAGACTTCTCAGTTACAGAAACTGTAGAATGTATTTTTTTTATTAAAGGCCACTAAACGTGAATAAACATTATGCAGTAATAGAAACCTAACACAATCTCCATAGTCATAGAATTTTGCTACCTTTTATTTTGCTGAGTTTTTTTTTGTTTGTTTGTTTGTTTGACATGTGTGTGTGCCAGAACTAGGACTAGAAATCAGAGCCTGGGAGCTGTCCTTAAGTTTTTGTGCTCAAAGCTAGTACTCTACCACTTGAACTATAGCTCAACTGCCACTTTTTTTTTTTTTTGGTGGTTAATTAATTACCTGCCCGGCCCAGCCTACCTTCAAACCACAATCCCCAGAACTCAGCCTCCTGAGTAACTAGGATTGTAGTTGTGAACTACTGATGCCCAGCTGGGAGTAATTTTCTCTCTTTCTTTCTTTCTTTCTTTTTTGCTGGTTGAGGAGCCTGAACTCTGGGCTTGGGCGCTGTCCCTAAGCTCTTCAGCTCAAGGGGAGCGCTCTACCACTTGAGCCACAGCACCACTTCTGGCTTTTTCTGCTTAGGTGGTACTGAAGAATCGAAACCAGGGCCTCATACATGGCAAGGCAAGCACTCTACCACTAAGCCACCTTCCTAGCCCTGAGGGTAGTTCTTAAACCAATTTTTTTTAACCACTTGAGCAACAGCACCACTTCTGGTTTTCTGGTGGTTTATTAAAGGTAAGAGTCTCACAGACTTTGCTGCCTGGGCTGGCTTTGAACCGACATCCTCAGATCTCAGCCTTCTGTGTAGCTAGGATTATAGGCATTAGTCACTAGTAGCCGACTATCTTAAACCAATTTTTGTATTTAATATATTGCTTCTGTTTTAAGAAATGAAATATTTGGCGGTAAGCAATATTGTAATTTAACCATCAAAACTCTGGGAAACACAAGAAAAGCATTTTTTAAATGATCTTGTACCAGTAGTTCTACTCTTGGAAATCTGTCCATATAAATAAAAAAACCCATTTAGTAAGTGTAGATAAATTTACTTTGTAAGTATTTTTTAAAACAAATTATGTCAAAGTTGCAAAAGAGTTGAAACAATTTTTAATAAGTTTTGTTAAATTGATCTCTAAGAACACTGTTAAAATTCACATTTCTACCAGTAATGTATATATCATTTTCTCTATCTCCTTATAATGTTAAATTTTTACCCATATATTTTAGTTGCCAGCTCTATCACTTATAACAAAATACTCTAGCCTAGGTGTCTTAAATAACAAAAATTTGTTTCCACAATCCCGAAGGCATTTGTTCTCAGGAAAATATGGTCAGTAATCTCAGATAAGTTAATATATGTTATGCTTTGAATAATATGTAAGGAAGCACAGGATGGTAATCTTTTAGAATCTCTCTTGGAATCATATTTTTTATTTATGTACATTGATATTTCAATGAATCATGTAGTTGGAAAATCACACAGATTGGAAAGCAAATTATGCAGACATCTAAAAGTTACATATGAATATGTGCTAAAGTTCTGGCTACTTGGGTTTCTCATATGCAAAGTGAACTGTATTCATTTATTTAGTAAATACTATTTTAAAGGGTCTGTGTTATGTTAGAGACTAAGAGTTAAGCTAAGTAAAACCATTGCCTTCAAAGAGCATTCACTGTAGTTATACTGAAAAGTGACCTTGTTTGCATGTTTTAATGTATGATGCACCTATGACCTGTCCTGCATGACTAAACTGTACAAAATGATATGATGGAAAAGTTGGCAGCAGGGACTCTATTTTAGGTAAGATAACAGGAAAGGCCTCTAGGGAAAGTGCATTCCCTCTAGGGAATATTACAGAAACAAAAAAGACTAGGGCTATGTTTCTATGCACTTATTGACAATGACTGCAACTTTTGCTTGTCCTAAAACTGTAGAAGCATAACCTAACCTACAGTTCTGATGTTCTCAACTACTTATACCTAGTTATTATAAATTCCTTGTGTGATGAAAATGTCCATAAGGGAATTTCTCTGCAGATTCAGGGTGATCAGCAAAAGTGAGTCACGGAAGGCTTTAAATGACACCTGGTTCAGATCCTAGAGTATTAGATGTGTTTTGGAAAAATTCTTTTATATTGGAAATGTAACTGTATTCTCTTCCTAAAGGCAAAGTCAATATTCAATACGAAAATGTAACTATTATTTTCTAGGTACACTCTTATTATCTCTTTGACGCCCCCTGCTGTGGTATCCTGCTAACTACAGAAATATATTAAACCTAGAAGCAGGCAGCTCTGGTTTCTAAGAGAATGCGTTTCAAAGCCTGGCTTCTAATGACGTCATCCTTTCACAACTCTCTGGGTTATAAAATGTTTATGTGAAAAACCCACCAAAAATTTTTTTCACCAAAAGCTAGATCCTTGTTAAACTTATTTTTTTCTTTAATCTTAGAATACAGCATGTTAAAATGTGTAAGAACAGGCAACAGATGCTTTGTTCTTCAACAAACACCTAGATGCCTGCAGAGTTGATACTTAAAATTACCATGACACTCAAGTTGGGAAGACCTTTCTTCTTGTTTCAAAGTATTTCCACATCAGTCTCTTACCAAAGCACCTGGAGAGATATGAGGAGAAATGAAAGCTGAGAAAGGGATAGATGAATAATTGGTATTCCAGAAGGATTTTTTTTCAAGAAGTTGGAATATTTTTAAATATTGTTTCAAAATACATTATCCTTATACTCAATGCTGCATAAGAAAGTAACTTACAAAAATTTTAAAGTGACTGTAAAATTATCTTCAGACCTCTTAATATGGATTGTTTCATTAATCATGTAACAGTATTTATAGGAAGTTTGTATAAATGTAGCACATGGTAGTCTTTGTTGTCAAATCATATTAAGAAATCATTTTTAACCATTAGTTTTATGGTTTGTAATCTCTCAGTTTTTCCTAGTATCTCTGTCTCCTTTTTTTCTTTTTTGGTACTGAGGGCTTCACTCTTGCTAGGCATATGCTGTACTGGCTGAACCATGGATCACTGCTCTGGCTATTTTTTAGGTAGGGTTTGACTTTTTGCAAGGGCCAGCCTAGACAATCTTTTTCATAATAATCTATACTTCCTGACATGACAGGCTCATACCACCATGCTTCTCTTTTGCTGTTGAGTTGGGGTTCTCATAAACTTTTTTTTGGGGGGGGGGGGGGAGTCAGGGGCTTGAACTCTGGGCCTGGGGACAGTCCCTGAGTTCTTCAGCTCAAGGTGAACATTCTACTTCTTGAGCCACAGCACCACTTCAGGTTCCCTGGTGGTTAATTGAGGAGTCTCACAGACTTTCCTTGCCCGGACTGCCTCCTGAGTAGCTCTTAGGCGTGAGCCACAGGTGCTCAGCTCTTGTAAACTTTTTGCCTGGTTTGATCCCTCCTGATCTCAACCTCCCACACAGCTGGTATGATAGGCATATGCCACCATGCCCATTGGTTGAGATAGTCTGACTTTTTTTCTTCTTTGTGGGAGGGGGAGCAACCTTGGGCTATGATTCTCTGGTTCTCTACTTTCTGAGTAATTAGGATGGGTGTGAGCCACTGGTTGCCTGGCTTGCCTAGTTTATTAAAAAAATAAATAAAATTGCAAAAGTTCTCAGATTTGTAAGTGCAGTGGTCAATTCTTTGTCTTCATTGTGTTTAAGTGTCCAGCAGTTTAGAATGCAGGTGGTCACTCTGACTCCTTTTATCTCTTGCTCCATTCTTCTGGCTTTCTTCTAACTTCAGTTTCCTTTGCAGGCTTCTCCAAATCTTCAGCTCTTGGAGTGGCCCAATGCTTGGTTCTCAATCTACAATTCACAATCTTGTCATGGCTCTAAAGAGTACGTGTATGCCAAGGATTCTCAACCAGGGCCATGCTTCATGGAGATGGCACAGTCCTAAGGTCCTTACCCTCAGAAAGGGACTGCAGTTGTTTTAATACTGTTGTCACAACCTTGAAATTCTGAATAGTTTTTTAACAAAGGTTCATTTTCAGTTTGCTTCGGATCCTGAAAATTGCGTATCTATCCTTTATCTAGTACTATATATCTAAACACTAACCCTCTCTCCAGACTTGTAAATCTATTCCACATCTCTACCTGGATGTCCAACAGACATGTCCATCCCAACAAGATCAAAACTTAACTCTTCCCCATACCTATTCCACCTCTAGTTGTCCCCACTTTGGTAGCTATGTTTCCAGTTGCTCAGATTAAACATTTTGGTGGCATTTTTTATTACGTTACTTCGAATATACTCTACCACCAGTCAGCCAATCATGTTGATTCTAGCATCAAAACATATCCAGCAGCCATCACCTTGAGTCATCTTGATCTAAGCCACCATCTTTTTTTCTGGATCACTGCAGTAGTTTCATGCTACCCCATATGTGGGTTACATATGGGTTACCCCCACATATGAGTCTTTTATGTAGGCCTCCTGTCTTTTATCCTGATTTCTTGTCTCTTCTCAACACAGGAGCTACTGTGGCCTCCTTAAAAATATAAGCTAGATTATATTCTTCTGGTCAATCCCTCCAGTGGCTCCCCATGTAACTCAGAATGAAAAACCATTTTTGCAGAGTCTTGTCTACCACTATCACTGACCCCAGACAATTCTCTAATCTCTTTTTTCACGCACTTACTCACTCTACCCATGTACCTTGGCTTCCTTGCTTTTTCCTAAAATGCCAGGCTTGCCATCTTCTAGGGTCTTTGAATAGGCAGCTTCCCTTACCAGGAATGCTTGTCCCCTACATCTTCATGGCTAACCTTAGAATCTTCTCCATTGTCAATTACTTTTCTAGACCTACTCAGACACATCCTATCAAAAATTTTAACCCATACGCCCCCAGCATTCTCAGTGCCCTTTATTATGCCCTATATTTTTATGGGTTAGGCTTTAAAAAAAAATTATACAAGGGAGTTTCTTTGAACTTTCATATATGCATACAGGGAAACTTAATTGGACTCATTGCACCTATGATTTTAATATCTCAATCTGTAAGATGTTGGATGTTTCACAGGGGGGTTCAAATAACTTACAAGGAGGCTGAAATCTGAGGATTGTGGTTTAAAGCCAGCCCAGGTCAGGAAGTTTATGATTCTTTTATCTCCAATTAACCACCCAAATTATGCATGATTCAAGTGGTGCTAGCCTTGAGAAAAAAAAAAAAAAAGTTCAGAGATAGCACCCAGGCCCAGAGGACTGACACCAAAAAAAAAAACAAAAAACTGTCACTAAGATCCAACTTCTTGTGCAAGCATTTGAGTTTTAATTCAGTGGACTTCTCTCCTGCCCTGGTGATTGTTTCTCATTGGCTCTCTAGCCCTTTGCTTTCAGTAAATCACACTCTCCTATTCTTTTCAAATTTCTCTTGCCTCCCCTGCTTCCCAGCCACACACGTGGATAATTGTCCAGGTCATTTATTGAAATGGCCACTTTTTCCTTCACAGTACTAAAGCATCCCCTCTGCATAAACTACCACAGGTCAGCTTCTTTAGTGCTGGGATTTCAGGCATGTGTCACCACAATGAGCCCATTAGTCTACTTTCTATATACCTTTATGTCAGTACCACACTGGATTCATTTTTGTGCGTTTTTATTTTGTAGGTTTCATGTTATTTTTCTGCTACATCACCGAGCTTTGTTGTTCTTCCAATCTCAATTATTCGTTTTTATTCCCCTCCCCCCACCCCCAACATTGAGGATTGAACTCAGGCCTCATTGTGCAAAGCAGGCACTCTTGATCCATCCCTCCAGCCCATTTGCCAGTTATTTTTGAAGTATAGTCTCAATTTATGCCTAGGTTGTGATCCTCTTTCTTGTGCTTCCCCACAGGGCTGAGGATGTTAGGGTCCAGCCATTGTTCTTTTCCAGTAGCTGGGCTAACAGGAGCATGACACCACAGCCATTAGCTGGGATGGAGTCTTCTAAACTTTTATGCCCGGGCTAGTTTTGAACTGTGATCCCCTGATGACTCCCAAAAAGCTTGGATTACAGGATTGAACTACTGTGCCCAGCTTTGACTATTCTTGACTACCTCAATTTCCATATAAATTTTAGAATCACTTGATCAATTTATATACAAATACCCATATAACCTAATAGAATAATTGGCATTACACTAAGTCAGTGGATTTAGTGAGTAGAATGGACAACTTTACAATGCTGTCGTCCAACTCATAACCATAGTAGATCTATTCATTTGGGTTTCTCTAATTTTTCTAATAGTATTTTTTCTACATAGAAAATATACTATACAGCCTTAGACAAAATTTATTTCTAAGTGTAGTAGATTGAACCATGGCCCCAAAATAACTCCAGAAGATCTAAATGCCACCTTACATGGATAAAGGTCTTTGTAGATGGGATCAAGGAGTCCTCACAAATGCCATCACAGTATCCTTATATTAAAATCATACACAGGAGAGTGAAGAAAAAGAGGTTAGTTATGTGGTTTCAAGCCAAGAAATAACAGCAGATAACAGCAGACACCAGAAACTGAAAAGGGCAGGGTACAGATTTGCCCCTCTGACATCTTGATTTCAGTCTGCTAGCCTCCACTACCAGAACGTAAGAGTTTTAACCCGTTTGTGGTAACTTGTTACAGCAGCCAAAGAAAACTAATAGATATTTGATGCTTTCAACGCATTTGTGTAGTTGTAACCTGAAAATAATTTTCTAATTGCTTAGTGCAATTGATAAACTGTATCCAGCAACTTGTTAAATTCATTTAATACTAATAATAGTGGATTGTTTTATGTATAGACTATCATGTTATCTTGGAATAACAGGTATTGTCTTTCCAATCCTTACATATCTTTTCTTTTCCATAATTTCCAGGACCTCTAGGGCAATAATGGAGTACGTATCTTATCCTCCCCTTCCCCCCATGGTATTAGGGATCAGCCAAAAGCTTCCCTCCTACTTAACAAACCTAAGGCATTTTCTTAACCCCCTTTCATGATACTGCCAATCACTGGACATTGCTTCTTAACCCATTCTTGCCCAACTTCCCTGCCCAGCTGCTTCTTTTCTTTCTCTAGCCCTTTAGAAATAAGCATTCCCAAAATTTCTATCATTTTTCTATTCTATGATGTCCTTATTAACTGTTAGGAAATCATTTTAAGGTCCACTATCAGCTTCCTAAACCAGGCTGGCTTCAGGTGCTTTCCTTTTCTTAGGGGCACAACAGAAATTGACCTCTTCTTTTTTAGAAATGCCATATATTCCCACCTTAAGTACTTTCTCTATATAGTCTTCTCTCTTTCCTATACGACAGCAGAGTATTTTCACTTAAACATGATGTTAAGTTACCAAGGTCTTAGATCTTCCCCATGTTTTGGTTCCTGATTTATACACAGATCCCTTTTCATAGAAAAGTGTATGGGAGATTTTCTTGCAGCGTTGGGGTGCTGGAAAGCTCATCTTGGTGAATTCCGTCTGGCTGGCTTTCCTGTTACTGGACTAAAAGGAGCTGAGTCATATTCATTAGAAGCTCCAGTGCAAGAACCAAAATACTGACTTGTTAATTTACAGTGAAAAAACGTAAGTGTCAATAGCTGTTTATCTCAGTTGGTGGGGGCATTTTCTCGTAGAAAAAAAAAATGCCAATTAAAATGTTCTTCCAAACTGTACCTGTTGAGAAAAGGAACAGAACAAAAGGATGAGTTATATGATTCAAATATTTATGGAATATCAAGCTTTGATAAGAGAAATGAGTGAGACCACCTCCACTATTAGCCTCGGTTTCTGCACCCAGGCAAGATACTTCCTCCTCTAGACAAGGGACCTGCCAAATACACACACACACACACACACACACACACGTACACACATTTAAACCTCGGTAAAGGATTGCTGTAGCATGCAGCCCTGAGAACAATGTTTCCAAGTGTTTAAAGACCATCCCATTGGTGCTTTCAGATCATTCCAAGGCACACTCCTGTACAACAGACAAGTCCTCACTTCCACTTACTAACGGGAAACGGCCGCACGACGAGGCGCCAAGGCCAGGCCGCCTGGCGCGCAGCAAGCGTCCTCACCCCAGCGCAGTTCCCCGTTCCTTCCCCCGAGACGCAGGGCCCGGAAGCCCGGCCGGCACGCAAGCGCTCGCCTCACCTCCACCTGGGGACTCGGCCCGGCCACGGATGGGCTCCACGCCCCCACCAACAGGTCAGCGAGGACCGAGACGGCGCCGGCTGGGCTCCGTCCACACTCGCGGCATTCCCTCCTGTGAAAACAGCCAAGAAGAGGGGGGTAGAGCAACGCCCGGCGGGACCGCTCGGCCCTCAGTCTCGGGAGTTCAAAGATCCTGAGACACAAACTGCAGCGTCCGGAGCCTCACACGCAGAGTCTGCTTTCCCGGCGGGCTGCGCCTCGGGTCTCCCAAGCCCGCCCGGTTAGCCGCGCCACTATGGCGCGGCCCGGGGGAGAACTGGAGGTCCCGCCCTCCTGCGCGCCCGCCAGGCCGGCCTCGGCCTCTCGCTTCCCCCAACCCCTCCGCCCCAACACGGGCGTTCCGGTCGCGCCGGCCTCGCTCAGGCTGCCCGCGTTCCTTCCGCCCAGAGAGGGGAAAAGAGTCCCGCGCGCACGCGCGCCGGATTCCCCCGCCCCGCCCCCCTCCAGTCAAGGAAAGGATGTGGGCGCCGCGGCCGCACCTCTGCGGCGAGCCCGAGCTGGCCCGAGGTGGGGGGCGGCGGGGCGGGAGGCGAGCGGGGCTTCCCCCCCGCCCCCCCCCCCCCCCCCCCCCGGCTCCGGCAGCCGGAACCTCCCTGCGGGGCGGAGTGATACCGCCGCGGCGTAGAGCGCGGCGCCCGCCGTGAGGGACGCCCCGGACTGCGCGGGGCGGGCGGCGACTGAGGGAGGAGGGGAGAGAGGCGGGGCCGGGGCGGGTTGTTGTGAGGCGACTGCGCTACCGCCGGACCCGAGCGGTTATGGCGGCTCCGTATTAACACCCTCCTCCTCCTCCTCCCTCTCCTCCTCCTCCTCCTTCGCCGTCTCCTCCTCCTCCTCTCCCTCCCGCCCGCGCTCGGAAGCCCGACTCCCCCTTCGCCCCGACGCCGGCCTCTTCCCCTCGCCTGTCCCCCCTCCCCTCTGCGACCATGCCCGGCATGATGGAGAAAGGGCCCGAGTTACTGGGGAAGAGCCGCTCGGCCAACGGCAGCGCCAAGAGCCCGGCGGGCAGCGGCGGCAGCGGCGCCTCCTCCACCAACGGCGGGCTGCACTACTCGGAGCCCGAGAGCGGCTGCAGCAGCGACGACGAGCACGGTGGTAGCCTCGAACTCCTCCCCGCCTCCCCTCCCCTCCCCCAGCCCCCTCCCTCCCCTCGCCGCGCGCCCGCCCGCCCGCCCGCCCGCCCGCCCTCCCCACCCTCGGAGCCCGGGCGCTGCGGTAGCCTCGAACTCCCGGTGCAGTGCCGCGGCACCCCGCGACCCCCGCGCCTCCGCCCTCCGCCCGCCCCCCCCCTCCGCCCGCCCCCCTCCCCGCCCCCACCGCTGCATCTCCTCGAGTGCCCGGAGTTACCACCTCCCCAGCCACCGCCGCTCCTCCGCTCCCCGCAGCGTTTTTAAATATACACACATACATTTTTTTTTTATTAAGTGTCTCTTCCTTTTCTGGAAACATTTTTTTTTCTATTTCCTCCCCTTCTCTTCTTCGCTCCTCTTATTGTTATTTTTATTTTATTTTTGGCATTGCTTTGCAGATGTTGGGATGAGAGTCGGAGCTGAATACCAAGCTCGGATCCCCGAATTTGATCCAGGTAGCTGTATTTGCTTAAGGAAAATCCCCTCTCTCCTTTTCTGGGCTTGATTTCGGGGGTGGAGGTGGGGTGGAGGGTGGGAAACGCGGGTGTAGGGACCCAGAGGTGGGGGGACCTGGGAGGAGGATGCGGGCTGGGCAGGGCAGGGCAGGGCAGCATCGTCTGGGGCCGGGAGGCTGGCGGGCTTGGCCGGGCAGTGACATGGCAGAGGGCATGTGGGCAGATGTGTGCGTTGCAAGGTTAACATGGTTCCTTTTGGAAGCCACTTGGCTGCTGCTGGTGCCATCATCGCCTTGCTGCCCCCGGATCCGGGGTCGGGATGAGTAGAAGCGGGCGGCTCTAGGTGGAGTGCGGGACTCCCAGGGCTGGGAAGCAGCCAGCGGCTTGGGAAGCCAAGGGCTGGAGTGGAACGTGTGCGGGCTGGGGGGAGGGGGCGGGGGAGACATACTCCAGGCCCTGGGAGCCCACGGCCGCGCCCTGCAGGGTGGGCGGCCGACGCCCAGGTGGCTGTCACTCCAAGGCCAGCCCTGCCGACCCCCGCTCCCCTGCTCGGGAGGAATTGCCCCCTTTTCTTGGCTAGGCGGTGTGGCTTCTTTGGCCGGCTGTGGAATGTCTGCAGAGTGCTGGAGTCGAGAAGGAAAAGGGGTGGGGGCAAGAGGGAGATGCCAGTGGCACACCTCGCTCGCAAGCCAGCCCTGGGAAGACAGACCACAAGACGGTGGCTGCAGCTGCCAAGGAGACATTTTCTCCCCGAGCAGCCAGGTTCCAGCGTCCTCTGCCAACCCAGCTTGCGGGCTCCCTGTCTACTTTTCTCCAAACAGGCTCCCTGGCGGTCATGGGATTTCAGCCTGCGCTGGGATTGGGCAAGAGTTCCGCATATGGAGGCGCCCTGCAGGACCCTCAGAACCGTGTGTGTGTGTGTGTGTGTGTGTGTGTGTGTGTGTGTGTGTGTGTGTGTGTGTGTGTGTGTGTGTGTGTGTGTGTGTGTGTCTGTGTCTGTGTGTCTGTGTGTCTTTAGGACCCTCAGAACCGTGTGTGTGTGTGTGTCTGTGTATCTGTGTGTCTGTGTGTCTTTGGGTGTGTGTATCTGTGGGTGTCTGTGTGGTTGTCTGTGTGGGTGTCTGTGTGTGTGCGTGTGTTCTCCCGACCCAGACCCTCTTTAGTTGTGTGTGTGTGTGTGTGTCCTGCCACCCAGATCTTCAGTAATACAGGCTTTCTGAAAGCTTTAAAAACCCTTCCCCACTTTCTTATATTTGTCTGCGGTAGTAACATTTTGTCTTGAGTTCGATGTTAGATATTTAATGGGGCTTTTTTTCTTGAGTGAAGCAGCCTGTATAGTTAATTATCAGAATATAGATGAATATTCCTCTCCCCCCTTCCCATTAGGACAATATAAGATGGTATTTACCAGCCATTTAAAGAGGTCCGGTAGTTCCTCCAGTCCCACCTAGGGAGGGTAAAATAATGAACATTAAAAGGATTGTTAGGGCAGTCTCTCTTTCAGTAGGTTAAAACAGTGATACACAAGTGTCCGCTAGGTTTGGATTACTTTCAAAATGGCACAACTGTTAGTACATTTTATTCAGAGACTCAGCATATGTACTGGTTGGCTTAAGTGAAGCTAATTTTCCTTACTGGTGTGACTGGGAGGTGAATGGCACTTTTACATGGTTCTGCCTCAGGTTTAGCTTGACATTTAGAAAGAGCATAACTCAGCTTTAAGATAGATGGAACTTAATTCCCCTCTCAACTTTTATTTTTGTGCTGTGAGCAAGTCGTTAGTCTCCCCAAACCTCAATTTCCCTAGCCTTACAAACTATTTCATGGAAGTCTTGCCAGGATGAAATGACTGGGCATATGGCAGTTATTCAGTGAAGATTAAATTTCATATATATGAAATGATTCCCAGTGTATTTATACCTTTTTGACCTGGTGCTGTCATTGATACTCTGCTTTTTATATACTAATAAAGTTTTTTGTCCACGTTAGAACTGAGTAGCCAGATTTTTAAGTTAATAAACATACCTATCTTTTTTCCTCATTAGGGTTATTTGTGTATTGGTTTCCTAGAAAACTGTGTACAAGTTGATGAGGTGACCTCCTAAGAGCCAGATTTCATGCTGGAACAGCTTGCACATACTATAGCATCATGAAACAGTTTTTGTTGTTTAACAATAAAGTGAACCATGCAACAGGTTCAAGAATAAAGTATTTTCAGTTTATTCATCCTATAATTGATATTCTTTATTAGAATAAGGATAAACACATTTTAAAATTTCATTTAATTTATTTTTAACATCTTTAGTCCAAGAACAGTTAAAAACAGTTACTTTTTTTGTGTGCTAGTAATGGGACTTGAATTCAGGGCCTTGAACGATTGCTTGGATTTTAATTTTTTCTTGAAACTGGCATTCTGCCACTTGAGCAGTACCTCCACTTTGGGATTTTTGCTGGTTAATTACAGATAAGAGTTGCTCAGATTTGTCTGCCTGAGTTGGCTTCAAGCCTGGATCCTCAGAGCTCAGCCTTCTGAGTAGCTAAGATTACAGGCATCTGCCATCAGTGCCCAGCTAAACTTTTTCCTTTTCATTTCATCTTTTATAAACTGCTCAATCCATTTTGAGAGACAATACTGAGCTTTTAACTCAAGACCTTGTGCTTGCTAGGCAGTTGACCTACCACTTGAGCCACATCCCCAGCCCTTTTTTGCTTATTACTTAGACAGGATCTTGAGTTGTTACTGAGGATGACCTGAAGCTAGGATTCTCCAAATGTCTGCCCTCCCATGCCAAGATTATGATGATAAGAATGTAGGATCAATTTTTGTAGGGAATATTTTTATTAGAAAGATAGTAGTGATGATAGAAATTGAGCATTCCAGAATGATGAGAAAAATTGAAGTTTATGTTAGTTACTAAAGCTCAGAGAGTACCTTAAGGGTCATTTTTAATAATGTCTTTATGTTTTACTAATGAATTTCTGACTACCTTTCGACTGCTTACTAATTCTTTTACTGAGTGGCTATGACTTCCTTTTACTTAGTGCCATTCTTGAGGAATGGTTTTTGTATTATAGTCTTGGAGCCAATGTGAAATATGTGACTTCTGGGGCTGGGAAGGTGGCTCAGTGGTAGAGCGCTTGCCTTGCATGCATGAGGCCCTGGGTTCGATTCCTCAGCACCACATAAGCAAAAAAAGAAAAAAGTCGGAAGTGGCGCTGTGGCTCAAGTGGTAGAGTGCTAGCCTTAAGTTGAAGAGCTGAGGTACAGTGCCCAGGCCCAGAGTTCAGGCCCCACTACCGGACCCCCCCAAAAAAAGAAAAGAAATATGTGACTTTTCTATGCTTTAGTTTTCTCATTCATTAAAAGGAAATGATACTCTATCACAAGACTAAAACTAATGTATATGAAGCATTGGTTTTCAAAATATTTATGTACCCATAAAAGAATTTTGAAGAAATAAAGTTAACATCTGTTATTCCATTCAGCTTAAATAGTTGAAGAATATAATCTCTGATATATTAAAAAATAGTACTGTGAAGCAAAGGTGTTATTCTTGTTTAAAATACAGCCAATTAAATATAAATACTATGGTATAATAGTGCCTTTTATAAAATACATTAGTAGGCTCTTAAAATTATGCAAGTTTACACTCTTCCTTCTTGTCATTTCCATGCATTTGCCCCACATAATCTTTATCTTCCAAGTGATCTTGCTGATCACTTACCTAACTTTTCTGCTTTTTTTTTTTTTGGTCCGGTCCTGGGGCTTGAACTCTGGGCCTGGGTGCTGTCCCTCAGCTCTTAAGCTCACTGCTAGTGCTCTACCACTTGAGCCATAGTGCCACTTCTGGCTTTTTTTTTCTGCTTATGTGGTGCTGAGGAATCAAATCCAGGGCCTCCTGCACGCTAGCAAGCACTCTACCACTGAGCCACCTTCCCAGCCCTTCTGCTACTTTTAATGATATGTCCAACTTGTCTTGGTAATACATATTCTTTTGAGCATAAGATTCTAAATGTTAAATCTCTGTCCTGAATTCATGCATAATTGATTAAAATTGTAGTCATTAATAATGCCTTGAGTAAGGTTATAAAATTTTTAAATTTGAAATAGAGATATGCCCACTTTTAAAATTATTTAAAGAGGAAAGTATTTGTTAAAGACAAGTGACAGAAATAAAATGACCATACAACATGCTAATTTTTTTCCCCTTGAGTTGAGAACTTTTATCATGTCACTTAAAGAAAGCACTTTACAGCTCCTCTTTGGTATATTGAATTGTCAGCATCACTGCTCTTGCACTCGGATCCAGTGTTAAGTAATGGTTACCTGAACATGTACACTGCAATACCACTGCAGTTGATTTGATAACCAAGTTATAAATCTTACATTGTGAGTTTGTTGGACAAAAAGATTCATCTCCCAGACAGGACAGAATGGGACTCTAGATAACATGATGTGACTCAGATTGATATGCAATTTCAGCTTTAAGAATTCTAGGGTTTTCCACTTTACTATTTTATAACCACTGTTGACTGTCAAGTGAAGCCTCAGATTAGAGGGACACTCCTATGTAACTTATACTGCAGATGAGTTTTCAGGCAGATTGTCTTGGAAAAGAAAACAGCAAAATTGAACATCTAAAAATAGTCTTAAAACATATTCTTGCTCCTGTACCCCTAGAGAAGTCTTTGCTTACCACAATTTGAAGCCTATATATTTAGTATGAAAAGTCTAGTCTATAAGTAGTAGAATTAAAACAGGTTGAACATCTTTTACCTTCTTCATTGAGTATATTTGTTTCATCTACTACATTGAAGCCCTTATTTTTAGTGTCACAGGAAATCTAAAAAGAAATTTTCTATTTCTATAGAAATCCTAGCTTGCTAAATTAATATGCATATATAGATGGATTTTTTTTTTTTTTTTGCAGTTCTGGTGTTTGAATGTAAGGCCTTGTACTTGCTAAACAAGCACTCTGCTGCTTAAACCTAATCAAGTTATATTTTTGTTTCATAGTAGTTGGTTGTGCCCAGAAATGTATAAATTTGTTTGATGAACTTTTGGTTAAGAGATCTAAATTATTTCAAAGAGATTAAACTTTTAAGTGTTTTATATAAACAATGAACAGTTTTATAACTGATATGCTACTACATAGTCTTAAAATTATGGTAGCAATCTAAATTTTGTGTTCTTTTTTACTTGAAGATAATTCTGAAGCTTGGTTATTTGATTGGTGAGTCAGATTCTCAGTGATTTTTCTGAATATCAGACAGTATTGAAGTCTAATCTTGGATACTTTCAATAGATAACAATAACATTGGTTGTGTTCTTTAAGTATGTGTTTATTCTGACCTTTATACTGCGAAGTGTGAAACACTGGATGCAGAACATCTTAAGGGCCCTGCATCAGTGGTTCCCACCTTTAATCCTAGCCACTCTGCAGACTTGAGTTCCAGAGGATTGAGTTTCAAAGCCAGCCTGGGCAGAAAAGTCCGGAAGATTCTGTCTTCAAAATAACTAGTAAAAAGCTAGGCTACAAGTGTGCTCAAGTTGTAGAGCCTGAACCAAGTGAACGAACAAGCTTGAGACCCTGAGTTCAAACCCTGCTACTGATACAAAAAAGATGTTAAGGCATAGATGAACTGTTTTTAATAGTACAAGTCATAGTGCTTTCTCCTAATTGTTTATAGGAAAGGAAACAGACCTGAGTTATAAAATCGTTCTCAAAATGTGATTTTAGCTAGTCAGTCCCTTGTTTAAAATAATTGGTAAAAGAGGACATTATCCATTTGAGTTATAACCCAGTGGGATTTCATTCATTTAGTTAATAGATTGATGAGGGATAGAAAAAAAAGCCCTTCTAAACTGGGCACTGATGACTCACACACCTATAATCTTAACTTCTCAGGAGACTGAGATGTGAGGATCACAGTTCAAAGCCAGCCCAGGAGCAGGAAAGTCTGAGAGACTTTTTATCTCCAATTAACCACCAGAATACCAGAAGTAGTTCTGTGGCTCAAGGTAGAGCACTACCTTTGAGCCAAAGAAGCTTAGGGACAACACCCAGGCCCCAAGTTCAGGCCCCACAACTGGCCCAAAAATAAAAAGCCCTTCTAGGATAGAGTAAGAAGGGAACTTAAAGAAAAAACAAACCTTCTATAACCATGTACAATAGTAATAACATCATATGTTCAGTGCTTATGATTCATATAATTTTTGAGTAAATCTGTAAAGTAGATATTTGTGTCTTCTAATTTTTAGAAATGAGGACTGCTGAGACACAGACTTATTAAGTAGCTTTGCCCAGGGGGGCAAACTTTATGATCTGTGATTAAAATTCTAAGAATCTTGCTTTATAGTTTACACTTAACTATTAAAATATCCCTCAGTTCCTAGAAGCATCATTTATCTCTTGGACCTAGGGTGACACGTATATAATGGAAAATGTTAGCATTCAGAATTAGGAGGATTAGGGAAAAGACGTTGTAAAATGCTGAAGTAGGCATTATCTGCTATCACACAGCTTTGCATTCCACACTGTTTGCAACCTCCCATGTTAGAAGAGCTGTTAGTACCTACTAAAACTTAGATACAGTTTCAGAGATCAGCCCCTAATTAAAGTTTTGAAGGCAGGACATATGATACTTTCAATTCCAACTTCCTATAATCTAAGAGTAAGGTGGAAAGAAATAGTTTATATTGTGCATGACATTAAGACTTGAGACTTAATGGAAACCTTTATTGTATTTCATATTAAATTTAAATGTACTTATTGTCACAGTATATTGTACAGAATCAGTTTCATGTTAAAAAAATGAAGTTTAGATTTTATTATGTTAGTTTCTAGTCAACTTTACATAATATTTCTAATTTCTGTGGAATGGGTTGGCTGTTTTACATTTATGTATTTTATTACATGTTTAAAATTATATATATAGGTTAATACGTATTTCTTTTATACATGGGTTTTTGGTTGGTTGACTGGTTGTGTTTTTGTTGTCATTTTGGTTGGTTGGGTTTTTTTTTAGACAAAGTTGCTATGTAGCTCAGACTGGCCTTAAACTAGCCAGTGTGTAAGCTAGCTTTGAACTTGTGATCATCCTACCTTAGCCTCGTAAGTGCTGGCATTGCAAGTATGTGGCACCATCCCTGCTAATATTGAAGGTTTGTTTTGAGACAGTATCTTACTGTATAGTCCAAGGCTAGCCTTTCACTTACTGATCCCCTTGCTTCTAACACCCAAGTGCTGGGATTACAAGCACGTATGACCATACCCTGCCAAATTAAAAATTTCAATGGATGTCTCAAAATCTATTTCCATTAGTTATAAATTTCAGTTAATGTACTTATTGTTTACATTTTTCAGATTCAGATTTCCTCTTTTTGCCTTAAAGATACAGCACAAATACAAAACATTTTGCTTTTAGATTTATTTTGTAATTATTGTTTTCTAATACTTAGATAACATTCTTTTTACTCTTTTCTCCATCCTTAGTTTTTTTTCTTAGCATAAAATACAGATTTAAAATAATTTTATCTAATTTTTACTAATATAGTATGATTCTTTAAGTTTGTTGATTGAACATAGTGATATATGATGACTTAAAAAAATTAGCCAGGTGCTGGTAGCTCATGCCTTTAATCCTAGATATTCAAAAGGCTAAGATTTGAGGGTCAAGGTTTGAAGCCATCCCGAGCAGGAATGTCCATGAGACTCTTTGGTGGTGGTGGTGGTGGTCATGGGGCTTGAACTCAGGCCTGGGTGCTATCCCTAAGCCTCTTTGTGCTTAAGGCTAGTGTTCTACCACTTGTGCCACAGTACCACTTCCTGTGAGACTCATCTCCAATAAACTACTCAGAAAAAACTGGAAGTGGCTCTGTGGCCCGAGTAGTAGAGGGCTAGCCTTTAGCAAAAAGCTCAGGGACAGAGCCCAGTGTTCAAGCTCCAGGACCAGCAGAACAGACAATAGCAACCAAAAAAACCAAATCCATCATTGAATGGCACTCAATTATTGCCTGATAACTTTGTATGAAGATTGTAGTAGGTTCCCTTACACCCCTGAATGCATGTTCTTTTTCCCAAATGCCTTGTAAACTTATAAACAATCATAATTTAACCTCAGAATTAATACTTTACAGGAATAAGTTTTGGGTTCTGGCCATTAGTAGTAGCTATTGTTAACTTATAAAAGTAGGTTACGAATCAGGCACCAGTGGCTCACACCTATAATACTCACTATTCAGGAGGCTGAGATCTGAGAATGACAATTCAAAGCCAGCCCAGTCAGGAAAGTCCAAGAGACTCTTATCATCTCCAATTAACTACAAAAACAAAAACAAAAACCTGTAGTGGAGCTGTAGCTCAAGTGGTAGAGCACTAGCCTTGAGCAGAAAAGCTCAAGAACAGCAACCAAGCCCTGAGTTTAAACCCCAGGACTGCCACACACATAAAAAATGTTACTACATATTCATTTTTAAAAAGTGTTATAAAAACTTGTGGGAGCATTGCTTAGTTTGTTGCTAGTGTTAATTAACTTATGGCCAACAATTAGGTAGAAACAAGAAAAAGACTAAAATTAAATACCTGCAAATATATAATTGTACCTGGGTAGCTGTGTCAGGCTTTCTTTTCATACAGAGTTGAGTTTTTCTGACATTCTAGATTTTAACATACTAGAAATACATTAGGAAATGATAGAATACTTCTAGACTGAGAATTACATGTCTAGACTCAAGTGTACCTTCTGATTAAAATTAAATGGCATTATTTTTGCCTTTAACCTATACAGAGTGAATATTTGTGTAAACAGGAAATGTAATAAAATTAAGCTTAAAAAAAACAGACCTATTGAGTAATAAAATTTTAAATGAAAGCAAACACTAGTACTCTAAAATTACAGCATTAGACCCATTTAGATATGAGGTAAACTGAGGTATCTCGAATGCCTGTGGCATTCTTTAGTTTAAAAAGCATGTTTGATCTTGTTCCCTAAGTAATATTAAAGACACTTAGGTCAAATTTATTACCCTGTCAAGAAGTAGAAATACGTAATTTACTTCAGAAAGATTTAAAGTGGCCAACCATCAGCATTTGCAAATTTTCTTTTTTCTTTTTTTAATGTCTGTGTGTGTTTATGTATTATGTATGTATGTCTGTACTGGGATTTGAGGTCAGGGCCTTGTACTTGCTGACATGAGCCATGCCCCCATCCCTTTCTGTGTTAGGTTTTCAGATTGTCTTGCTTTTTGCCCAGGACTATCCTTGAGGTCTTCCTGCTTGCAGCCTGCCAAGTAGCTGTGTTCCACTATACCTGGCTTGTTTGTTCAGATAAAGTCACACTAATTTTTGCTTGAGCTGACCTGGAACCATACACCTCGTGATCTCCATCTCCTGAGTAGCTGGGATTACAAGCATGAACCCCTGCACCTGGCCTTAATTTTTATAAATAAGATATTATCATTACTGTGAATGTTTTTTTTCTCTTTGTTTTTCTGTCCTTTGTCTTTGCAGGTATTGTATAAAACAAAATTTACCTTATACTTCCTTGAATGTGAATAAAACCCATCATACTCAAAGTAATTTATTTTTTTCCCCAGGTGCAACAAAGTATACAGATAAAGACAATGGAGGGATGCTTGTATGGTCTCCCTATCACACTGTCCCAGATGCCAAATGTAAGTTTTCTAAGATTGAATATTAGGTCAACAGAGATTTATCAGCAAGTTCCATATATTTGTTTGTGAATCTTTTAGAGCCTCATAAAGTTTTTAATCCTTTTTAATAGAGGTTATTATGTCAGAATGTTTTTCCTTTTGAAAGATAGTGGGTTGAACATTCCAATTTGTTTCTGGCACATGAAGAATGAAAAAAAAAAGTAGGATCTGATGGCATTGCTGCTTAAGTCCTCAAGCAGGGGAGGGAGTTACTATGTAGACATCTACACAGGCTTTTCCTCAGTCTATGAAGCTGTAAAAGAATACCTTCAAACTTCAAAGAGCCCACTATCATTACCATTTTAAAGAGGCGAGGGGAAAGAACTGACTTCAGCAGCCATCAGGTCAACTTTGTGCTCTCCATTTCTGGACGGAGACCTCCTGGATCATTGATCATGCACTTCTTGAATCATGGTGTGGCTTTAGACTTCAGTGTGATGTAGCGGACCTGATCCTTTGCGGCACATCAGATATAGGAAACGTGCAGGTAACAGCAGTAAGATTCCACCCCTCCATTCAGTTGTCATTAAATTTATTAAATAACAACAGCAAACGTGCAGGTAACAGCAGTAAGATTCCACCCCTCCATTCAGTTGTCATTAAATTTATTAAATAACAACAGCAACAACACTGAGCAGCTATTCTAGTGGCTATAAAAATAAGCTTGTTTTTTAAATATATTTACTAACATCTTAAAGATGCCTCATTATGGCTTATTTTCAGGAAAATTAACAATGTCCTATATATCATGTGCATAGTAAATTTAATCATGTTTAGTAATAAAATAAAGAATTAAAATTTAAAACTGCATTCCTGATAGGAAACATGAAATAGTTGGGCTTGGAACTGTATACTGAAAATCTGAAAAGATACTGTTGATTTTCAGTCTATATTACCTCCAAATATTTCGTTCACAAACTGACCTTGTTTTATTCAATGGTGCATTTCTCAGCAAAATCAAAAACAAAATCTGGAAAGTTAGTATTTCCATGTGGAATGTTCACTGAAGGACTAGTGTAATGATTTTCAACCCTGATTGTTCATTGGAATCAATTGTATTCCCTTAAGAAGCACTAATGTATAGTCTATCTCAAACTAATTAAATCTATATTTTCAATGGTGAAACCTAAGCATCTTATTTTTTAAGGCTCTCTCACTGATTCTAACACATAGCCAAGGTTGAGAACCTTTGGTCAATTGGTATTGTTTAGTTTTCTATCTACACAACTATAAGATACTATTGCTAAACTTGGTATATATTGAGCCCTATCATGTATTTAAGTGATATAGATTCTAAGTAAAATGTAGTATTTGGACTTTCTGTACCAAAAGCTTAAACTAGAATAGATAAAATAGAATTTATTTTTTAAAAGTTGCTGTATTTAGCAGTAGTTGTTGTAATAACACATTCATTTATTAAACTGTACTGACCAATAATAGTAGTCAATACTGACAAGTACTTAAAATGCCTAGTGCTGTCTTGAGTACTTTTGTATATTAATTCCCTTAATCATAGAAGGAAGATATTGTTGTATTATCACAGGGAGGAAACTAGATATAAAATTTTATATTACTCAACCAAAATCAGAAAATTAGCAACAAACAGAAAATCCAGCCCTGGTAGATTGTAGCTAGACCAACTTTTAAGAGTGAGAAAGGGTTTTAAAACATGAGTCAGTTCAAATAAAGACTAATGGAAAATAAATCATTTTAGCTGGGCATTAATGGCTTATACTTGTAATCCTAGCTACTCAGGAGACAGATCTGAGAATCCAAGTTTGAAGCTAGCCTAAGCAGGATAGTCCATGAGACTCTTAAATTAATCACCAAAAAACCTGAAGTGGACCTTAGGGTTAATGCCCAGGCTCTGAGTTCAAGCCCTAGCCCTAGCACCCAAAAAAAAAAAAAAAAATTAGTATTTTACACTGTAATTTTGTCTAATCACAGTTTGGTCTTTTTCAGTATACAAAACTAATTACAGCAACATCAAATTTAGTAAATACATCATACATGATCTTAGAGATTTAAATAAAATTAGAGATACTAAATAAAATTTCAAATTATGTGAGCTTCTAGTCCTATTTATATCATTCTCTTTTGGTGAATGGAAGATAATTTGGCTGTTGTTTTATCCCTGGAATAATAAATTGTGTAATCTTGCCATTTTAAAAGAAAAAGCAGTCCTGGGCAAATGATTTAAAGAAAATAATTATCTACCTTTTTTTTTTTCATTGCAGTGGATGAATATATTGCAATTGCAAAGGAGAAACATGGCTACAATGTCGAACAGGTATGTAGACAATCTTTTTTTTTTTGCGATACAGTCTCATTCTATTGCCCAGGGAGCCTCAAACTCCTGGTTTCAAGTAATCTTGCTTAAATCTTCCAAATTACTAGCACTAGAGATAGGCACCCTGCTTTTGAAGTAGAGATTCTTACATCATTTCAACTAAGTATTATTTCAACTTTATCATAACTAATAGTAAAACAGATTTGCTATCAGTGAAATTTTTTAAAAAAGATAAAGTTTCTATAAACTTGTTATCAAGTGACTTTATACTTAGTAACTTGACAAACTTCATGAAATTACATATTATTTTATCTAAACACAAGTTATTTGTGGATTTCAAAGCCTTTGATTTGTCTATCTTGTTCTTAAACCTTGTTTTTCTGTTTAGTGTATATTTGGAAAAATTATTCTTTCAAAACTTTTATTTTTTGGGGGGGGGGGGTCCGGTCATGGGGCCTGAACTCTGGGCCTGGGCACTGTCCCTCAGCTCTTCAGCTCAAGGCTAGCACTCTACCACTTGAGCCACAGTGCCACTTCTTTTGGCTTATGTGGTGCTGAGGAATTGAACTCAGGGCCTCATGCATGCAAGGCAAGCGCTCTACCACTGAGCCACCTTCCCAGCCCCTCAAAACATTTTTGTTTGTGTTCATTTTCATGTTTATGTAAAGGTTTGTTATCAAAGTACAGAAAATCACTAGTATTTTAATATGCTGTATCCCTTTTGAAGAATGAAAGTGAATCCTTAAATGATACTTAATAACCTATAATGATAAATTCCTATTATAATAGAGAGGGAAATATGGAATTTTTGTAAATAGGATGTTTCAGGCTTTTTTGTAACATGGCAATTGAGTCATTGAAGTTATTTATATGCCTTCTGGTAATTCTATATACAATAGGTTAAAAAAAGATCTTTAAAAATATATGTGATAAAATATTAAATTTTAAGAATTGCAGCTTATAATACACTTCTAAAAAGTTAAAACTTACATAATTTCCTTCTGTGTCCCAACTGAGCATTTCTGGTGTTGAGTTATAATTGATAGTTTTATTCAAGTATTGGTTTCATTCACATACTGATGTACTGGTTATTTTCCTATTAACATTTCCCCTACACATTGAAAAATAGTAGATATAGGTAAAAGTGTAACCCTAGAAACCTACTTTAGAAATTAAAGTCACTTTTCAGCTCAGTTTTTCCTCAGTACATATGGGATGTATATACATTTTCTGTTCTGAAGCCTTGATTTAAATAAAAAAGGTCTGCTATTTGGACATTCCTGATTAAAAGCCCTAAACTGTCCATGTGTCTTGAGTTGAAGTCATAGGCTTAAATTTTTAACTGAATTTACATTTAACTTTCTTAAGTATGATGGAACATAAATCGATTGAAACGAAAGGGAATGATTTCTCTTCAAAGGCACTTGGCATGTTGTTCTGGCATAAGCATAACATTGAGAAGTCACTTGCTGATCTCCCTAATTTCACTCCCTTTCCGGATGAGTGGACGGTGGAAGATAAAGTCCTATTTGAACAAGCTTTTAGTTTTCATGGGAAGAGCTTTCACAGGATTCAGCAAATGGTATGGTAATTTTGGTCTTATTGTGATTTCATTCCTGAATGATATCTTATTGAATATTTCCTAATTATTAAAAACAAAAAACCGGTTTTACCCTTTATTTTAAAAAAGCTTTTTGAAGTACTTCAAAGTATATTTGCATATGGTTGTATTATATACAGTTTTTGGTGCATGATAGTCATGTGCTACTTCATTTCTTAGTTTATTTTGAATTACATATGTAATAGTTTTGTTATTCCAGGGTTATCATATTTTCAACTTTATTTTTGAATATGTCACTTTTTTGATAGTAGAATTTTATTTCCTACTTTAAGTCCACTTTTTAAAATCATGTTTATTTTAGAAAGCCCATTAAAAATTGTTGTATTAATTTCAGTAATGTCTTTTTTTGTGGGTGAGGGTGATTAGAATCACTGCTTTACATTTCTAATTCTTAAAATTTTAGTACAGTGTCAAAATGATATAAATCTGAGAAGTTAATGCATTTTAATCCAAAGTGAAAATTAGATGTTTACAAATACATCTAGGTTTCTTCCATAATTGAAGAGAATATTTTGAGTAGGGAATTTGCCAATAAGATCATTAATCACTTTATTCAAAGACTTTAGTTAAACTCTTGTTTACATTATTTACCATTTTAAGACCTGAATATGTCCAAATATTTAAAAAAAATACTGTAAGAATGGAAAGTACTTCTTAAACATTATGCTCTGTGAAAGAGGCCAGATTCAAAAGGCCATATATTATATGATTACATTTACATGAAATATGTAGGTAAATCCTTACAGACCAGAAGTCAATTAGTGTTTACCAGGGAAGGGGGAAGGAAAGAATAGGGAATGACTTCTCATGGGTGTAGAATTTCTCTTTGAGGTTATAAAAATGTTATAGAATTAGAGTTCACAGTACAACTTAGCAACTATAGTAAAAATCCTAAATTGTAACTTAATATGGTGAATTTGATTATAGCCTAAAAATTCCAACTTATGTTAGAGGGAGTAATTGAGTAGCCTTTTAAGGAAAATGCATATTTACATGGTTAGAAACTTGTTAGGCCATTCAAAGTTAGTTCATGACATCATCCTTTTCCTCAGAGCAAACAGTAATATTAATTCAAATGTGCCAGTGACATTGGGGTATTGGAGTACAGCATAATTTAGCTCATAATTTATAAGGTAGCCCTAAAATATTTTTCATTTTTGTCTTTATTATCAAAGAATATCAATTATATATCTTGTTAATCAGAGTTTATGAATAAAACTTGCTAATATTAACAGGATTTCTTTTTAAGCTTCCAGATAAGACAATTGCAAGCCTTGTAAAATATTACTATTCTTGGAAAAAAACTCGCTCTAGGACAAGTTTAATGGATCGACAGGCTCGTAAACTAGCCAATAGACATAATCAGGGTGACAGGTAGGTTGGATGCCTTAATTTAGTTACATTGTTAGGGACTTCGCATTGAATTGCTTATATTCCATAAAGAAAAAAATTATTCCAGTACTTTAAGTACTTCTACTGTCACAGGCTGAGCCAAGTGGTTAGAAGTCTTAGTAGTGAGACTTCTTCATCTCTAGACTATAATCACAAATGCTTTGTTACTGTTGGTATATTCGGTGAATATATTTAGTATTAGAGAAATATTTCTGTGGAACCAAAGTTCCCATTATTGTAATTGTCTTTCTGGTGGTATGAACTCAGTTTGTTTCTTGGCTTTTGTCTGTCTGTATACTCCAACTGGAGAACTAAAATTAGTATTATATCAAATTGTATATGTTCTCTTTCTCATAATACGTGTCTTTCTAAATCTCTTTTCCATTGATTAGCTTTATTTTTTAGCTAGAAATGTTTGCTAAAATGACTCTTTACGTCACAAAGAATAAATGTTTCAAACAGTGTAAAATATAATTTGCAAATTCATCATCACAATGAAAGTTCCTGTTCTGTTAAAGAATATTTAGTAAAATTAGAAGGTACATGACAGTTTGGTAAGAGAACAGGGATAAAATAAAATGAAAGAGAATTAAGTATTATTTCTTTGTTTCTTTCAGTGATGATGATATGGAAGAAACACATCCAATGGATGGAAATGATAGTGATTATGATCCTAAAAAAGAAGCCAAGAAAGAGGTAATGACCATTAGGAGTTTTTGTCATTGTTCTACAAAACTATTCAAAAAGAATGCATAGTAGTTCATATTAAGTAATAAGTGTGTGTGTGTGTGTGTGTGTGTGTGTGTGTGTGTGTCAATGTCAGTGTCAGTGTGTCAGTCCTTAGGGCCTAGGTGCTGTCCCTAAGTTTTTCTCAAGGCTAGCGCTCTACCACTTGAGCCACAGCTGCACTTGTGACTTTTTAATAGTTAATTGGAGATTAAAGTCTTTCAGACTTTCCTACCTGGGCTGGCTTCAAAGGATGATCCTCTTAGCAGGCTCCTGAGTAGCTAGTATTACAGGCATGAACCACCAGTTCCCAGCTGAAAAACTTCTTCATATAATGATTTTAGGAGGTAGTAAATTTCAATGCCAATTAGAGGGTTAAAAGAATTCAGTAATACGTAGAATTTTCAGTTAGCCACTGTTTTTAAGTATTAGGAATTAGGAAAGACGTGCCATAATTCCTAATTCATGGAAAAGAAATAAAACTACTCTTATATAATATTATATGTAAAATTAGTTTCTGGTTTTGTTACCCAGTATTTCTTGGAAACACTGTGCTCTATATTATAGGAAATTCATTAGTAAACTCATGTAGTAAAGTCATTAAGGAAAGGCAAAATTAATACACATGATGTTTAATAAGACAAGGAATTACATAGTTATAAAAACGTGTGATCAAAATGCTTATGAAGAACAGGCAATTTGGGAACAATAAGGATGGTATTGAAATTAAGACAGTAGATCTAAGTTTATTTAGTAAATGTGTGACCTCATCCCATTTAATGATGACTTGTCAGTCCCCTTTTTTTTTTTTTTTTTTTTGCGCTGGTCCTGGGGCTAGAACTCAAGGCCTGGGCCCTGCCTCTGAGCTTTTTCTCTCAAGCTTAGCATTCTACTACTTGAGCCATAGCTCTACTTCTAGCTTTTTTAGTGCTTAATTGGAGATAACAGTCTCTTGGACTTTCCTCCCCAAGCTGGCTGGCTCCAAACCATACTCCTCAGATCTCAGCATCCTGAGTAGCTAAGATTACAGGGATTAGCCATCAGCACCTGGCTAAGTTAAGATTTATTATTTTTTGATGATACAGGAGATTGAACTAGGCAGGTTGTCTACCACTTGAGCAACTTCCTCTTATACTCAGTTTCATGTCCCATTTTGGCCCTATCATTACTTTAAACTCTTCTATTAATGAATTTTAAAAATCATACTCTATCTACCTGAAGTTGATATTTTCCTAATTTCCTTTCTACTGATATGTAGTCTCAAATTCCTTGGTATTTTCTTCATCTGCCTCCCTGCCCCCAACTTCATCTTTCTTTTCCATTTCCCTTACTCTTCTTCTATATCTTTTATAGCCTTATATATAAACCCAAAATGTTGTATTAGTTGCATTCTTGTATTGGGAGGCATTGTAAGAGAGAAATGACACAATTATGTAAATTGGTGCTACTACAAAAATAAACTAGTTTCCCATCTCAGGATAGTTCTTAGTGCCTCTTACCTCTAACTCTTGATTTTTTTTTTCTTGGTAATATAAAAAGATATGATTCTTTTCAAGTATGTAGGACACAGTAAATCTTTAATACAAGTTTTTTTTTTTAATCTAAGCAACTGTCCTATATCTCTATAGCAACTATCTAACAGTTTCCCCATTGAATCTGCCTTCGTTAGCCTGTTTCTGTCTCACCCCTTCACTGAAACTGCCAGCAGATAGACCAGTGACCTAACTGTCACATCCAATGACTGATTGATTACCTATTGTATTCTACTTGTGCTTATATTATTTCATAGTACCAAACCTTCCCTTCTTGGAAATCTTTTACTTTTAGCCAGGTATGGTGCCACAAACCTGTCATGCTATCACTGGGGAAGATCATGAGGTTGAAGCTTTGAGCTACATAGCAAGACCTTGTCTCAAAAAAATAGATAAGGAAATAATCTTTTACTTTGAACCACCTTCTGTTGATTCCTGTCTATACTATTGTGCCTTCATTTTAGTGACATCTATTTTCTTTCCACTTACTTTATTCAGTTTGTCATTACTACTTTTGTTCCTCTCAAATAATTGTAAATTTTTTTCTGTTCTCTCTGTTCTTTTTTGACTACCCTACTTTCAGCTATTTTCTGTCTTGTTGCTATCTCCCCGGATTTTGCACCCCACCCTTTCAGTCCACTGATCTTGTTTGCAATGAAATCTTTTCATCTGCTTGGAATCCTTCTGTGATTTTGTCTGCAGGAGGACTAGACAAACTAACCTATTATGCATTTCCCATCCCATCACACATATTTTATATTTTACTTCCCAGGCTCATGTTATTTTGATTCCTTTTGCTGGAATTTCTTCCCAAACCTGCATAGAAAATTCATCATAAATATATAAGATGTAGACTTTTTTTTTTTCCCCCCCCTCTAGACTTTTTTTAAAAAAAAATCTATTTGTGCCTTAGTTTTACAGGCATCCTTTTTTTTCTTAAGTCTGTATTGTGTTATTAATTATTCTAAGCAGTTTACTCATAGTCCTCTCCCACACACATAACTGCTTTTTCCTGGATAGCAAGCTCTCTAAGAGCTGTTTCACTTATCTTTTTATTTCTAGAGTCTGATAAATAGTAAACAGTCAGTAAAATTATTATAATGAATAAGAATACATTTTATAAAACTTTGATTATTATACAAGTATAGAGTTGAGCAATATGGTTTCACATATTTTTCCTACAAAAAATATGGAGAGAGAATACTATTTTTCCCAACTATGAAGATTATATATCTGTATTTGACCTTGTATATGCCTGTTTTTTCATCCTGTTAGTAAATACAAGATGAGTGTAAATTAAAAAATACTGAAAAGATATTGTGAGGTTTGAAAGGCTAGCACTTCATAGCCAGCAGCTTCACTCATTTCTGTGTACTTTCACAACTGATAGAAACATTAGGCAAGGAAAGATACAAAATCATGGCCTTTAATGCAGATCTTTATGTCTGCTGTTACCTGTTGTTAACATCATTTAGAAACTTTTTAGCTTTGAAACATTATGAACTACATATATTATGCATATGTACAGTTTTAAAGAATTATAATAAAACAAATATTAGAATGTCCATTACTGAGCTTAAGAAACAAATTATTTTGACAATGTATTGTCATAGCTATAGTATAGTATCCTATTGTGTATGTGTGTGTGTATGTGTGTATACATATATATGTATATATATAAATATTACAAATTCCTACTCTTGCTCACCTTTCTGGACATTATTTCTAATCCCTTATTATTGTGAGCAGTGCTTATAGGAACATATCGTCTGTGCACATGTGTGATGGATCCTTTGAGATGATAGTTCTCAGCAAGGTTAATATTGACCCCATAAAGGGATTTAGAAATTATGAAGATGGTTTTTGCTATTTTACTGATTATGGGATACTGTCAGCTTATACCATCAGAGTGTAAAGTAAGATTTAGAGCCCTGGGATTATTTCAACTGAAATTACCCTCTTTCAGTGTTTACTTATTATTAACTTCTCTAGATTGTGATAGATCATTTTCTATATTTGATACACTTCTGTTAGACTATGAAAATACTGTCTACTTCCTTGCCAGTCTGATAAAATTAGACTTTTTAAAAGGTTATAGATAGAGAGATGTCATTCTACTCTCACTTCCATTCATCAGGCTACTAATGAGGCAACACATTTTTACATCTGTTTATTAACTATTTTGTCTTTTTTAAAGTGCATGTTTATGGGTTTTTTTAAAACCTCTGTTGAATGTCATTTTCATAAAGATAAAAACTATTGAAAAGATTTTTTTTGTACTGGTTTCTTTTTGTATCCTGGCTATCTTTGATTAAATGTGCTGATAAGATCTTTCAGCAGTTTATGATTTATCTATTTACTTCTACAGGCTTGGGCCAGCAGTTATTTCATCGAAAGCATGTACATCTTCAGAATTCCATATTATTTTGTGTTTTCTTAAAATTTTAAGAGGTTATTGATGTCATAGTAAATAAGTTTGCATGGGTTTTATGTAGAAATTCATTTTATTGTTTTCTAATATGGAAGTGGCTCTCATCTCTTTCAACTGGTCTGCAAGGGCTGGGAAGGTGGCTCCGTGGTAGAGTGCTTGCCTTGCATGCCTGAGGCCCTGGGTTCAATTTCTCAGCACTACATAAGCAGAAAAAGCTGGAAGTGGCACTGTGGCTAAAGTGGGAGAGAGCTAGCCTTGAGCTGAAGAGCTGAGGGATAGCACCCAGGCTCTGAGTTCAAGCCCCATGACCAACAAAAAAAAGAACAAAAAATTATCAACTGGTCTGCAATACCAGATCTATCATATATAGACTTCTATATATACATGACTCTACTCTCTTGTCAATTAAATATCCCTTCTTAGTCCCACATCATCTCAGCTACTACAGCTATCTTGTAAGTCTTGATAGCTGTCAGACCAAGTTCCACAACTTAGTAGGTTTTTTAACGAGTATATATACCTTAGCTATTCTTGAACCTTTGTTTTTTAAACTCATTACAGTCCTACAAAAACCCTGCTTGGAGTTCCATTGACTGTGTTTAAAAAGAGGATAAATGAAACCTTTGTATAATTTGTTTGTAGATGATTTTTAATACCTTTGTAAATATTAATACCTAAAAATAAAAACAATTTTGTTCTTTTCATATTTATCCTTTATTTTCTTCCCTATTGAAACAGAATTGCCAGTATAATATTGAGTAGAAGTTATAATAGCAATATTTTTCTTACTTGCTTTTGATTCATTCACTGTGGTAGTTGATTCTAGCTGTCATCTGGGACAGGTCCATGGCTTGTGAATAATCTGGTTCTTTGACAGAATATCTAGCTTCCTTCCAAGCAGTCAGTCCTCCAATAACAAGGTATATCCCAGCTATTTCTGGCTCAGCCTTGGGTATTATTCAGTGCTGTTTCTACTGCATGTAGATGAGTCCCTAAAGTTTGCCCAGAATCAAGAAGAGAGGAAATAGACATTTGAATCTCAAGGGTAGGAACATTAAGGAGCTAAAGCCTCCAAACCTAAAATGTGGAATTTATAAGATTTTATGTGTACATTAATTTAAGCTTGTCTGTTTTGTAATTAAAATCTACAACTATTTGGCTACTTACTAGTTTTGTTCTTTTAGTCTGTTTATCTTATCAGTTACTTTATTCAACCAGTTGTTGAAAAACATACTTTTAATACTTTAAAGCAATTGCTATTAGGAATGTACAAATCTAGAAACCTTTACTCTACATATGATAACCCTTTCATCGGTTGTCAGTTTTTCTTATTTTGTCTAAAATGGCATAGCTCCATCATCTTATCTCTAATTATTTACCTGGTAAATATTTTATGTATTAGCTTGCTTAAAATTTCTACATTTCTGTGTCATCACATTGTAAGTATGTGTATATGGAGCATATAGCTCAGATTTTATTTTACCTGAAGAATTGAACACATGTAATATTGATCTTTGTCAGTGATGTGTTTGTATTTTTGTTATTTACATTTTCTTTCTATTTGACTTTTTCTCATGCTCTAGCTTTCCCTTCATGGCTTGTTGTTGAGAGATTAGGAATTTATCTCTTATTCCATTATTTTACTTTCTACTGATTTGTGATACTCTTGTATTTCTGTTCTGATTTGTGTAGTCAGGAGAAACTATCCTATTTAATTTACAGTATAATATTAGGATCAGTCATTTTTTTAATTGGGAGAGAGGCTAGTATTGGGGCCTCAGGGCCTCACTTGCTCAGCTAGCTTGCTCATGGTTGGTGTTCTACCATTTGAGCCATACTTTAAGTCCATCTTTTTTACTGGCTAATTGTAAATAGAGTCTTACAGATTTTCTGCCCCGACTGGCTTTAGCTGGCTCCTAAATAACTAGATTTGCAGGTATGAGACATCAGCACCTAGCAGCAATAACTTTCTGATTACTTTAGAGCCCTTAGAATGCTTTGACTCTACTACTCTCCTGATTTGCATAGTATTTTGACCACAGTAACATCCTGGGTTTTTTTTTAATCTTTCTTTTATTTTTTTTTATTGTGAAAAGACTGTACAGAGGAGGAGTTGCAATTACATGGGCAAGATAATGAGTACATTTCTTATCAAGCATTGTAGCCTCCTCCTTTGTGTTTCCCCTTCCCATCCTCCCCTTGCCCCCCCCCAATTCCCCCCCCCCCCCCCCCCCCCCCCCAGCCAACCGCACGAAAGTTGTAAAGTTCGTTTTTGACATAACGACTTGTACATCTCATTGTTGCAATGGGTCCACCTGTATCCCTATTTAAACAATTGGTTTTTCCCCTTCCCCTCCACAAATTATACCGACATCAAATACAGTGAAAGCAGGGGTTATACTGTGGGGGAGGGACATACAATTTTTTTAATCTTTCCAGTTAACATATAGCCAATGTTTATTAAGATTTATAGCATTCTTTATTGACCATATCTTTTCTTTGAAAATATTTGCCTGTTTTCTGAAATACATCCTTTAGCAGTTCATTTAGTCAAGAATCTGTTGTCATAAACACATTTATGAAGTATGATTTTAAAATATAATTTACAGGGCATTTGCATTTGTCTATAGGTACTTCCAACCTGAGATAGTTTAAACAAATTTTGGATTGAGGCTTTTTGGCCAGAGAGATGATATGAATTTAGGCCTTTAACTTGCCTGAAGTCAATCTAGTTGTTAGGGATTCTCAAGAGAGATTTTCGAATTTTTCTGTTTTTCCACCAAGCCAAGAGTGAAAGAGGCATGAATCCCTCATCCTTTCCATCTGCTGAGCTAGGATACTTTTTGTCTACTTCACGCAATGATGAAGTTCCTCTTCCAGCATTCTGGCTTTGTCTATTTGTCTATTTTCCAATTATCCATTGAAGCCTGCCTGTAGCTTTTTAAACAAATGCTAGCTCCTGAATACTTGCTTATTCCTTTTGGTTATTGCTGTCCCATCATTTCTGGCCTCAGAGGAATTTCCTTACTTCCCTGCCAGCTCAAACAAATTTTAAGAGTTTTTTGGGTTTTTTGTTTTTTTGGTGTGGTCGTGTGGCCTGAACTCTGGGCCTGGGCACTGTCCCTCAGCTCTTCAGCTCAAGGCTAGTGCTCTACCACTTGAGCCACAGCACCACTTCCAGCGTTTTCTGGTTATGTGGTACTGAGGAATCAAACCCAGGACTTCATGTGCCTCATGCAAGGCAAGCACTCTACCACTGAGCTACCTTCCCAGTCCCAAATTTTAAGAGTTTTAAGAATACTGAATCCAGCACCTTTCAGGGTGCTAACACTAAGAGGGGTATTGTATTTGGGGTATTGAATTTTAAGTAATAAAATAAATTATGCTCTATTAGAAAATTGTTTCATAATTTTACTCAGTTATTAAAGAATTGCATTATTAAATCTGTTCAGTAATAAACTTCTACCTAATAGATGAAAAAGGTTTTAATAAATTCTTCTTTCAGAAGCAAAGAAGACTACTGCAAGTAATAATGCTATACTACTTAATATTTCATGGTCATTATTCTTAGAATATTCAGTGAGGCATAAATTGATATTTTATTCATGAATTTGGAATTTAGAAATAGTATCAGTTGACTTCTGTACATTTTTTTCTTTTGTTTTAGTCTTGTATCTTTTTCTTGTGATTCTGGGAGTGTGAACTCAGGACCCACTTGCTCAGCTTAATTGATCAGCTGACACTCTGCTGCTTAAACCACATGTCTAACCCTGCTTTTTGTTTTTATTTAATTTTATTGTAAAGTTGATGTACAAAAGGGGTTACAGTTACATAAGTCAGCCCTGCTTTTTGATTTTTATTTTGGAAACCAAGTCTGCCTGCTTGAGAGTACTTAAAACCTCAGCCTCTTGAGTAGCTAGGATTACATATTTTAGTCACCACTGCTCTGCTTCTACTTTTTAAAACTTTAGAGACATAATTCTTCAATAATTCTAAAAGTAAAATGTGTCCTCTTTTTTACCAGATGCCTAAACTGCCACATGTAATTTCTAATTAATCCCTTTTTTCTTTATCTTTTTAGGGGACAGTACGAGGGCCTTGAACTCCAGGCCTTGCACTCTTAGTTTTTTTCACTCAAGATGGTGCTCTGCCACTTGAGCCACACTTCCATTTCCTGCTTAATTGGCGATAAGGGCCTCGTGCATTTTCCTGCCAATGCTGGCTTTGAACTTCAATCCTCAGATCTCAACCTGTTGAGTAGCCAGGATTACAGGCATGAACCACCAGCACCTGACTTCTTTCTTATCTTTTTAAAAAAAATTTGTACATAATAAATTGTAGTTTGAGGAGTTTAGTTTCTTTGCCCTTTACTGTTTAGGGAAACTATATCCCATCTTGAAGCACAGAGGAATAGAATCTTACTATTTAATTTATTTATAGTCCAAAGGGTCTAGAAACCAAACATATGATTGAATGATTAACCAAGAATATATTATGGTATTATGCTGTGTCTTCCCCATCAACTAGTGAATGGTTGGAGTGTGTGTGTGTGTATATGTGACTGTGTGTGTGCATGCATGTGTGCTCATTTGAGCTTATACATAATATAATTGATTGGAAGCATTTTTCAGATAATATACACTTACAAACATGAAAGGACCAATTATGCTGTCTTTCTTCTCTTAGGGTAATACTGAACAACCTGTCCAAACTAGCAAAATTGGCCTTGGAAGGAGAGAGTATCAGAGTTTACAACATCGCCATCATTCTCAACGTTCTAAGTGCCGTCCTCCAAAAGGCATGTATTTAACCCAAGAAGATGTAGTAGCTGTTTCCTGTAGCCCCAATGCAGCCAACACCATCCTGCGGCAACTGGATATGGAGTTGATCTCTCTAAAGCGTCAGGTATTTTATAAAAATTTATATTGTTTTTGTGTGGTGCTTGGATTGAACCCAGGGTTTTGTACTATGGTTGGCAAGTCCTACCATTAAGCTACACTTCTCTAGCTCACTTTCATTCTTTAAGATTTTATCTTCAAGGTGGGTGGCCCCAGTGGCTCATGCCTATAATCCTAGCTACTCAGGAGGTTGAGATCTGAGGATTGTGGTTCAAAGCCAGCCCAAGGAGGAAAGTCTGTGAGACTCTTACCTCCAATAAACCATTCAGAAAACCAGAAGTGGTGCTGTGACTCAAGTGATAGAAGGCTAGTCTCGAGCTGAAATGCTGAGGGACAGCGCCCAGACCCAGAGTTCAAGCCCCACAACCGACAAAAAAAAAAAAAAAAAGACAAAAAAGAATTGATCTTCAGCACCCAGGCTCTGAGTTCAAGTCCCATGACTGACCAAAAAACTAGTTTCTTTTATACAAATATTAGATACTGGACTTGAATACCAGCATTTCTATGTATTAGCTCTGTCATCTTAAACGAATTCTATAAGCTTACAAAGCATCAATTTCTGCCTATGAAATTGGAATAATCATCACTTCACTTGCAGATTGTTGGGAGTTATTTGTGGTGATACATATAGTTTATTTACCAGTGTTTGGCACATTTTGAATGCTCTATGAATAATTACTGCTGTTTAGTAGTGGTAGCAACAGTATAGTTAAGAGTATCATCTTCATAATTGGGTGGTTACAATTATGTAACCATCTTCCCAACCCAATCTCATCAAGTTTCCTTTCTCCCTTTTCACACATATGTGCAAAGTGTCTTGACCATATTCACCCTACCTACCTATTGCCATTCATCTGCCCCCTTCTTACTCATACTTATATAATTTTGTCATTTTTTCCTTATCCCTTATATCTGTGTTCTTCTAAATCTTTACTTTCTTAGTCTATAACAACCAACCCACACTATCTACTGACTATATATATATATAGAGAGAGAGAGAGAGAGAGAGAGTGTGTGTGTGTGTGTGTGTGTATGAATTGAGTGCTTAACCTTTAGTCAGATCCTATCTTCCAAACCACAGCACTTCTCTTTTAAAAAAACAAAAACTTCTAAAATAGTGTCTTGAAAGTTCCCAAAAAAATGAAGGAATAGGAAGTGGCGCTGTGGCTCAAGTGGTAGAGCGCTCACCTTGAACTGAAGAGTACAGGGACAGTGCCCAGGCCCAGAGTTCAAGCCCCACAACCGACCAAAAAAAAAAAAAATAGAGATTAAGGATTCAGTGGAAAAGCACTTGCCTGACAAGTGCAAGGCCCTTAGTTCAGTCCTCAGCTCTGAAAAAAAAAAAAAAAGGAATAAAATGGAGCGTATCACCTGCATTCATACTTCATCCTTAGTACCACTATATTGAAGGATTGTTTATATTGATTTTTCAAAAGAAACATTAAGCTTGTGTTCCTGCTTTGGTTATTCATTGGATAGGTAACATAGTAAAGGCTGCATAAATTTAGTAAAGGCTCCATAAATTTTGCTATTACTACTTTTATCTGTTAAGATTCCTTTCACATACAGTGGCAAAAATGATACTTGTTTCTATTTTTCCCCTCATTTCCTATAGGGCCACAGTTATTCAACTGACCATGTATCCATGATTCACCCTAATTCTCTGCAGTCATGCATTTACAAAGTGGTCTTAAATTTCTTTAACTCATCTCTGCATTTGAGTACCATCTTTCCTTAATTTTTACTGCTTTTTTTTCATATTTTAGATAGATAGCTATCTATGGGGGGGAGGGGGGCCGCCAATGGGTAACCAGTCCTGTTGCTTGAACTTAGGACCTGGATACATCCCTGAGCTTCTTCTACTCAAGGATAACACTCTTCCACTTGAACCATAGCTTCTCTTCCAGCTTTTTTTTTTTTTTAATAGTTTAGTGGAGATTTGAGTCTCACAGAGTTTCCTGCTCCGGCTGGGTTTGAATCATTATCCTCAGATCTCAGCCTCCTAAGTAGCTAGGATGACAGGTATGAGCCACCAGTGTCCAGTTTTAATTATATTTTTATTATCTATAATAGTTGTACAAAGGGATTACCAGTCAGCAAATCAATGTATACAGTACATATTGATTGATTTTACCTCTTTCATCATTCTCTACCATCCCTCCCAACCCGATCCTACTGATTTAATGAAGGGTTTCTTATTTACTTAATATTTCTCAGTTGGATTGTTAAATTAATCCCTCCTTTCACATCATTTTATTCTCCACATTACTGTTGGAATTATCTTTCAAAAAGGCAATTATATCATTTAGTTCCTTTGAGTAAAAATCCTTGGCTTCCTTCAGTCTGTAGTCAAATTCAAATTCTAATCTGACCCAAGCCTAACTTCTAGCTCATACCCTAACATCTTTGTTTCTTTCTAAATGTTATTCTGCCTGAAATTTATTTTCTCTCCCACCTGCCTAAGTCTTACTAATCCATTAAAACTTGGTTTGAGTATCATCTCCTCTGGGACATTGCCTACCACTCATCGAACAACACATATACTTTTATTCTATTTTTCTTTCTTTTCCCTCAAGTCTATGTTAAGTGTTTTAGCATTTTATCATACCTTTATGTTTCTTTATCTTCCCATTAGTCCTACCTTGAGAACAAGGGCTTCACATTTGTATGTGTTTCTAAGATAGCCAACTAACTCCTTAAACCATTCTAGATTTCTGTTTCAGCTATGTTAAGATCTATCTCCAATGGAAAAAAATTTACAAATAACTTTAGAAATATTTAGTTGTCCATGCTGAAAAAAAAAAGAAAAAAGTAAACAATAATCTACGTAGACACTTAATAGTATCACTAGTAGAACAAGACTATAAAACTTGAGGACCAGGAATGTGATTCAACTGGCAAATCACATGCCATAGCACAAGGCCCTGAGTTCAAACCTAGTACCACAAAAAATTAATTAATTAACTGATTAAAACATGATATGGTTTAAATTCAGATTGTACCTTCTATATATGTGGCCTTGGCAAAGTTGTTTTTTTTTTTTCATCTATGCCTTACCTTCCTCACCAGTAAAATGGTTCTAACAGAGGTAAGAGTCAAGGGCAGTATAGCCCACACTTAGAACCCCATCTACTCTGGAAGTAGAGACAGGAGGATCACAGTTTGAGGCCAGCCTGGGGGAAATAATCTGTAAGACTCTATCTCAAAAAAATCAAGCCAGGTATGGTGGTCATGCCTTTAATTGTAGGTCCTTGGGAAATAGAAATAGGTAGATTATGATCTTGGGCCAGCCTGGGCAAAAATAGGAGAGACTGAGAGACAGTATCAGTTCTATTCTCTTGCTTTGAAAACATGAATTTGTTCCAAGGCATTCGATATGCTAGAGAATAATTTGAGCATAGTGTAAATTTTGTGTTTTCTTAAGTATGATTTTTGTCAGTGAAAAAGTGTTCCCAAGTGACCTGAGTATATATACCCACACACCTCAAATGTGAATCAGCTGCCTGAATTCACTGTGTGTCGTGAACCACACACGTCTGATATATAACTTGGATCTGATTTTAAGTAACCCTCCTTCTATCACTTCACAATAATTCATAAGCTGCAACCATTTTGATGCCCACTTCTGCAAGCAGCCTTCAGATCTTTTTCAAGGTAAAGTACAATCTTTACTGTATCATTTATGAATTTAACTGTTTACAATATGTTAAACTGTACTATTGTTTTTTGTTAAATTCCTTTCTTTTCATGTTTGTCATAATGAAGGTTTTGAGTGTTATGTCCCAACCACCTTTTCCTCATAAGACCTATATTTTTTATTGCAGATTTTACATAATATAATGGCTTTTTTTGGCAGTACTGGGGTTTGAACTCAAGGTCTTGCGCTTGCTAGATGGGTGCTCTACTGCTGAGCCGCACTTCTAGCCCTGATTTACCCAGATTATTCTTTGAGATAGAGTCTTGTTTCTAGCTTAGTGTGCATCTAGATTGTGAGTCACCTATTTTAGGGTTTCCATCATTGCTAGGATAACAGACACATGCCACAGCATCCATCTTCCCTTGGTTGAGATGGAGTTCATGGACTTTTCTGTCCCAACTAGCCTAGCACTGCTGTCCTCCCGAAGTCAGTCTCCCTCATAGTTTCAGATGACAGGCATACACCAGTACACCCAGCTGTGGGTTGAGAAAGGGCCTCACAAACTTTTCTGACTAGATTCATCCAAACCCTTCCAATCTCAGCTTCCTATTTAGGTAGATTTACAGGCTTGAGCCACTGGTACTCAACTAGTATAATGACTTTTAAGATTGTATATGTTGTACTTATCCCACAGTGTGTTTGTTGAGAATCAAAGTACCAAGGATAATGTTTTATACTTAGTAAACATTAGCTACCATTGTAATTATTTTTATGGAAATAATTGTTCTTTAGGACTGAGGCTATAGCTCAGTGGTGAGTTCTTGTTTGTCATAGTAAGGCCCAGGGTTCAACCCCCCCAGCACCACCAAAAAATGACTATGATTTATGATATTCAGAGTCTTATTCAAAATCTATTAGTGTATTAATGCTTGCACTAATTGACATGTTAATTGAATGAGTTGCATATCACATCTAAAATGTGATAATTATGTGTTCTTCTGAAATAAAATGTAAGATGGTTTTGATATATCTCCTTTGTTTATTGAATATTCAAAAATATACCTGAGAATATAATTTGATTCTTCTTTTGGGTTATTTTGTTTAAGGTTCAGAATGCTAAACAAGTAAATAGCGCACTTAAACAGAAAATGGAAGGTGGAATTGAAGAATTCAAACCTCCTGAGGTATGTTATTGAAAAATGCATTTGAGTTGGTGAAATCTTGAAACCTTGTTCTTTTGAGTTATCTGGTGTTGAAATACCAGATAACTAGTTGCATGTTGTTACTACTTAAAAGATTTCACATTATGAACTATTACATTTTTAATTATTATTTAGTTAATCTTTTGAAGCTTAATTAATCCTTTTGTATTTAAGTTATTTCTTTCCTATTCTTAACAATTTTTATCAAGCAAAGTATTTAAGGAAAATAGGAACAAGAATAGGCACAGTGTATGTGAAAGTTAGAGATCATTGATAAGCAAACTGTTGCCTTCCTGGATATATAACATTGTTTGCTCAAAGCCCTTTTCTGTCAGTGTGAATTGGTAGCATAGCAAGAATAAATCACAAGAAAAGAAGTTCCTTTTATCAAATTTTTATTTTAGTTTAAGATATATGTCTTTAGGCTTAACTTCTTGGTAGATTTTTATTCTTCTACTTTTATTCCTGAAAATACAAAATATAAAATAAAATCTTAAGCCCTACTTGAGTTTCCACTGAAACCTAATTATGTTTGTGATATTTCTGGTAATTATAGGAGTACTTAAATGCCATTGGGGTCCAAGCAAGTCTTTATAGAAGTTTTTCTTGTAAGATCTTTTCTCTTTTAAAACTCCTCTGTTATAATTCATATCTAGATTTTCCTTTCTGTATATGTGATAGTAGAATAGTCTTATTTGTCCTAATGGAAACTTTTTTTCCCTCCTAATCACAGGCTGACTGAAATTTCTGCAGATGAAATATGTAAAGGGTGAAGGGAGGTTGGAATAGTACTTCAGAAATGATCTACCATATGCCACTTGATTATTAGTATTAATCTTTTAGGAAGGAAAACTTGTTATAAAAACAGTTGTTTTTTGTTTGTTTTAAGTAATCTTATGATTAGGTTATAGAAAAGCTTGAGACGTTCCTGGTCAGTATCTCATTCCAAACCCACAAGTAAACTGACATTCAAATAACATTTATGTATTTAAAGAAAGTATAATACAAAAATCACTTTTTTCTATATTATTCCAGTTATTTTAAATTTTCTATTGAAATTTTTACTTAAATTTTGTATATAAATCAGAATAAAATAAAAACTCAAATGCCTGTAATTTCATAACTTAGAAATTGAAAAATAAATAACAAAATCATTACAGGAACACTAGAACAACTTTATACTAAAAGTTTGAAAATTTAAACAAAAAGAATTTCTTAGAAAATGTTGTCCTTACCAAAAGTAAAACTGAATAATGTAGATAATCATTAAATAAAATGAAGGAATAGTTAACTTTCTTCTTGCCCAAGCAAACAATAAGCCCAGATCATTTTATCAAGTTTTCAAGAAAAAAATTTATAGACAAATTATATAAAGATGTGAGGTATAGTAGCATTTTGTTTTATCTGTGTGCCACCTTTTTAAGCTTCATATAAATCCATACAAGTTAGTAAACCAGGTACTATAATTTTATGTCAGAGAGGTTAACTGCTTATTCAAACTTAGATAAGTAGTAAATGAGAGAACTCTGACTATAGTTCAGATTCCGGGAGTCTTGATTGGTCCTAGATGAATACATTTTATGTTAGAAAAGCACTTTTGCTTTGGAAAACTTTCATAGAAATAGCAAAATTGTTAATCAATTTTAGTTCAGTTATTGAGTTAAAAGCTACCAAGTATTTATATGCCTTGGCTTATTATAAAAATAATGGCCAAAATAAAAGTTAACCAAACTCTTAACATATAATGTATCATGTGTATGCTGAAGTTTGAATATTACTTTGGGATGACCTGTTAAACTCATCATATGATTTGAAAAATACAACATATTTTAGATATCTAGAATATATACCTCTAGGGTATATTTATATTTAATCATATCATTCCCATTGCTTTCAGGAGGAAGGCAGCTTAAATGAATGATTATCACTGTGAAAACCTTGAAAAATCATGGAATTTATTGTTTTACCTTTGGGTTAAACTTTACCTAGTCAGAAAATGTTAATAAATTTTGGAATTATTATAATAGGTCATTAAATAAAGTACCTCACAATTAAGGTGCTTTACTTATTAATTTGGTTTTATTTGTTGTTTTCATTTAGGGAAAAATTTGGTGAAGAAAGTCCATTCACTTCCACAAGTATTTATTGATCACCTATTTCATGTAAGGCGCAATGTTAGGCACTATGGGAAGTGTTTGTGGGAAGGGGAAAACACATAAAGATGAGGATGAGATATGGTGATTTTTTTCTACCTCTTAAAAAAAAATATAATCTAGATGTTATAAGACAAACTGATAAAAAGTTGTATGATATCATTAGCAAAGGCTAGAGGAAACTGGTTGGCTCTAATTCATTTTGATTAGGATAATCAGGGAAGACTCTGAAAGTGTTTCAGCTGAGGTTTGAAGGGTAAGTGGGATTTTTGCACATACAAAATGGGCAGAAGAGGTCATTGAGACAGAAACTTAATATAAATAACAGAATTGTATTCAAAATGTGATTTCACTGAGAAAAATAAAAAGCACTCTGACAAACCAGTCAGCAAATATTTTCTTAACTTTACCATTTGCTTATTGTGCTAACTGCTGTTGAGAATCCAATGAAAGTGTAAAACAGTCTTTTCTAGAATTAAATGCCATGGAGAAATGAAAACTGGGGATGAGAGAGTTGTCAGCAAAGTTGAACAAGGCTTCTTTGTTAGAGACAGATAGGGCAAGGGCCAGAGTGTAAAAGTCCTTGTGAAAGCTAAAAAGAGAATTAAGCTTTACAAATTAAGACAAATGTGAGAACCTGTAGTTTTTTCAGTATAGGAAGTATATACTAGAAATTTTAATAGTAGGAAAATTATCCTTAGCAGTGTTATCAGGTTGTATAAGAAAAGACAAACTCCGTAGTGTGGATTGGTTTTTATTAATGGTAGAAATGGAAGTAAGTGATATCCCCAAAAAACATTTCAAAGTAGAAAATCTGTGCCTCTTTGAAAGTATGTGAGTGTTAGGGGAAGAGGTAGCATTTTTTTCTGCTTGCATTTGCTTTGAATGGAAATGGCTAGATGGAGGCAAGGAGATAAATGAAATCCAAGAATAAAATAACTACACCTGGAAGGGGGGTGATGGTTGAAATTTCTCATTCATGTGTTCTTGGAAAAATGGACAATATCCTTTCATTGTGGGTGTTGGATGGAATTTGCAGCATTGAACAGGAGGTTTAACTTGGTAACCTTTTCTACCTCTTGATTGAGAGGTAATATGAACTGCGATGAATAAAAATGAGAAATATATGAAGGCAGATTGATTTAGGAAGGACTGTGAAAAAATGCTGAACTCACTAAGGATGCCATGGATATTCTAGGTGGCTCTTTGGGACTTTTTATTTTACTATCATATTGTATTTTTATTTTATATTATTATCTTTAAACAATAGTACTTCAGACCAAATTTGCTATAGAAGACTTACTCTGTGATATACCCTAGCTAACCACTACTACTACATTTTTTTAATGTCAATGTATTCTAGTTTCCTCTTTTAACTTCTGAAGAAGTTTCTTGTGCTTGAAAGAAAATACAAAATCAATAAGGAATCCTGTGTATTTATTTTTCCTATTTCTCTTTCAATCTTCCCCTCTTCTACTGATTCCATTATGATACTAAGACTATTTATCCTGAACTGTCTCAGCTCTTTCTGCTTGTGTATTTCCACCAAAGCTGCTTCTTGAAAGTTAACCTTGGGCACTAAGACCAAATTCTACAACTTTTAACTCCTGATTCCCCATGCCATTTTCTGAGCCCTTATTTTAGCTGTTTGCCCCTCTTTTGGTTTCTTCCTTTAACTTTTGTAGCTACTATGTTCTCTTTTCAGCTGTAATTATCATTTCTGTACATAAATATAGGCACTGTATAAATCTTTATCTTCAGAATTCATTTCCTCTCTTAAGAGGTACATAGTCTTACTACTGTGTTTAAACTTTTCATCATATGTATGCTTAAATGCAGATCCAGCCAATAAGAGAGAGAGAGAAAGAAAGGAAGAGAACAAGATAAAATAGAAAATGTTTGGTGATAGCAAGTACAGTTGCTGGCAGTTTTGCCTGAGCTGTGTTTTTTGAGTATATACCCTAGAGTACGTAGTCTTATTGAATTGAAAATCCAATTCCTTTGACTTCAATTTCTACTTACCTCCTATGTATCTCTAAACCTAAAAAAATTCTAGTATTTAAATATATATAATACATACCTTTATACAATATTATCCTAAATTCAAGTCAACAGCTTCATAAGAAAGCCAGCAAAAGAAACTAGTGACCTACTCAGTTGTTCAACTGTATGCCTGTATGCCTTCCCATGACTACCTTTGTAAGGACATAATTCAAGAGTAATTTGGGAAGAAAAAAAAATCCACTTTTTTATTTAAAGTTTGTAGTCCAGTATAAAAGCCTCATACCTAAGTTCAATATAGCTCCATTGCTTTCCTTTATAAAAATTGCTCCGCCCAGCACTGGTAGCTCTCTCCTGTAATCCTAGCTGCTCAGGAGACCAAGATCTGAAGATCACAATTTGAAATTGACCCAGGCAAGAAAGTTCATGAGACTTTTATCTCCAATTAATCACCAAAAAAGGCTTTAATATGGAGTTCTGGCTCAAGTGGTAGAACACTAACCTTGAGCAAAAGAAACTCAGAGACAGAACCCACATGCCGAGTTCAAGCCCCAGGACCAGCACATGTGCATGCGCACGTACACACACACACACGCGCACGCACGTGCACACACACACACATACCCCAAAAACAACTAACATAAGCAAGCACATCAAAAAAAGAATAAGTAAAAAAAAAGAAGAGTGATAACCATAATAATTGTTAATAAAAAGAGAATTTTAATTTGAAAAAAAAAAAAAGTAACAAAAGATTTTAAAAGGACTGGGCGGAGGGGGTGGGGGAGAAGAACCCGGGGAAAATTAAGTGAAGCAGATAAAGCAAAAATGGTCACTTACACGTGATCATGTTGTAAAGTTAAAAGCCAAAGGATAAAGGGTATTATGTCATTATATAGTCAAGAAAAGATGTCAGCAAATAAAATTAACTAAGGCCAGCAAATAAGATTAACTAAATCATTAACTCTTTTAAAGAAGCCAGTTTATGTTTTATTTTCATATATCAAGTTATAATCAACCTTTTTATTTTTTCACCATATATCGAAATATTTGAACCTGTTTTAAATAGGTTTAGTAATCATCACCAGTGGTTGTCAAAGACTTGCCTTTTACAGCCAAGGTATCAGAGGTACCTACCAATTAACTCAAAATTAGCTATTAATTGATTCATGTTACTCTTAATTTTTGTGAAACCTATGCTTAAATTTCTGAATTCCCCTCATCATTTTTTTAAAGCTTTGGCTTACCCTTCCATAATTGTTTCTGTGTATGTGTCAGAATGTTTCCTACTTCCCCCTCTTTCTCTTTTCCTTTTGGCTAGTGTTACTTTAGCCTTGATGCCAGTATCCTAACTTCTGAGGACTACTACCTAGGCTTTTATCCCTTTTTAATCTAATTCAGTGATTTCAGTAGTAGATCTCCTTCACCACTACCCCAAATCTTTCTTTTCTTTCTTTTTCAGAGTCAATCAAATTTTTTTAATTATTTGTTGTGTTGAGGGGATCAGGAGCGGGCCTTTTCATGCTTTGCGTGCCTCAAATCATGGGTCATCAGGAATATTTGGGGGAGACCAGTCTCTGATACTCCACTTGACTAAGTAGTAGGTGACAACCTTGGTAACCCTTACACACATAAGTTAAAAGAGACCACAGGTCTTTTTAACTTTTTATTCTCTCCACTGAGAAAAGAAAATTGTTTAAATTCTTTATTCTTCCTTCTGAATATTGACCTATAAATAGACCTTTGTGTGCTTGGTGAGAAAATTGGTGTTACAGAAATGGTGTAATGTAAAAACTCACATTGCTAAGACCATGTCTGACACCTAAACACCCCTTCTCAAAGAAAACTCTTTCTGCTTTGCCCAGCATGTCCAGGTATAAGTCACTTTATGTTGGCAGTTCCTTCTGCAGAACTTTGCAAGCTGATATATTTTTTCTTCATTCCATACATGACTGTCAAAGATCCTTGAATAACCAGTCTGTGGATATACACTAATAAAATCTGATTAAGTATTTGATATTGTAATATTGCCATAATAAAGATTCTACACTTAATGACTTTGGGCAAAAATTTGGGGAGGGATGTTAGGAAGCCTTGAAAAAAATAAATACTTACCAGTCAATGATTTTTGCTTCAGGAATTAAAAGAAGTGTTTTAGCACTTAAGCCTAGTCTGCGTTGTGTACTAATATGTGCCACTGTCTTGGAGTAAGAAAGAATAGGTTTAATTTTAAATATGAAGGGAAGAAGTTTTAGAATCATGCATCCTCTAAAGAAAACAGTCAAAAACTAGGCTAAGTTATTGTTTGTAGTGTGTCATAGGAACATCGTAGTCGGAAAATATTTGACTATCAGGTTTCTCAGATTTTAATGTATCTTAATATGAATGTTATTCATTCTTCCAAATGAGTACATTTCCCTTTCATTATCTTTCTATGTGAGTAAAAGGTATCTCAGAATATATTTTTAATCCTTCTAAAAATGGAATCAAAATCTAGAACTTTCATGTCTGTGATTTGGTTAAAAGTTAAAGAAAAATAAGCACTTTGGAAAAATGTCTGTCTTCATATCCTCATTAGGAAACTTCTGTTTAATTTTGTAGTCAAATCAGAAAATTAATGCCCGTTGGACCACAGAGGAGCAGCTTCTAGCAGTGCAAGGTATATTAAAGATATGCAGTTATTGTTACTAATAATTATTAACTTGTCATGAAAGGTGAATCCTAGTTCTTCCCTTCCTAATTGAAATGGAGAAAGGGCTCTTGTGTTCCCCCACAAAGTCCTGGTGGCCAGGAATCTTGTGCTTTATTTCTGGATATGACATGCTGAGTCTACATATGTAACATGTAAGATCCTAAATAGCACAAAATGCATTCTCAGCACTGAATAATTGATGATGATGACAACGATGATGATGATAATGATTATGATAATAATGGTAATGATAATAGACAAGCATGACCAAGTCATGTTGGCTATCTGTGTCTCTGCTTCAGTATTCTTGCAGTTGGGTCATTCTTACTATATTACTCATTGATAACATAATTAAGATCATAAACTGTGATCTGTTTTTATTTAGTTTCTGTCGTGTAACAGTGTTTCTCTATTTGATGATAAATGTCAGGTCATAAAAATATTAACCATATGCTTAAATTTTAATATAACATACCACTGGATGCTTTAGAAACCTGACTTTAAATACAAGTATATTTAGGCAGGCGCTGGTGGATCATGCCTGTAATCCTAGTTAAGGCTGAGATCTGGGGATTATGGTTCAAAGCCAGCCCAGGCAGGAAAGTCTGTAAGAATCTCCAATAAAAACTACTCAGAAAAACCTGGAAATGGTGCTGTTGCTCCTGTGGTTGAATGCTAGCCCTGAGCACAATGAGGCTCAGGGACTGTGGCCAGACCCTAAATTCAAGCCCCAGGACTGTCCCCCCTCCACCAAAGAAAGGTATATTTAAAAGAAATCTTAAAACAAATATCAAAAATATGCATATAGCATTCTAATGTGCTATTTAAAAGCACTTTCCTGGAAGTGGCGCTGTAGCTCAAGTGGTAGAGCACTAGTCTTAAGCTGAAGAGATGAGGGAGAGCACTCATGCCCAGAGTTCAAGCCCCGCAACCAAAAATAAATAAATAAATAAAAATAAAAAATGAAAGCACTTTGCTGAAGTTACATGGTAAACACATTGTGTATTATGAATACCAATTAGCAAACTGGAAACATGAACTTGGATTTTTATCAGGTTTTAATTGTTTCATTTAGATTCTTTTTACTTTTTATGATCAACTATCTTCAGGGTTTTTTTTTAACAGGATTGTAGGGTTTTTTCCTTTTTAAAATAAACTAACTGTAATTTAAAATGTGGTCTATTTTTGTTTTCTCTTGGTTGAACTCACCTCTATGCTGAATAGTATTAGTAGCTTTTTTTCAATCTAGGTTAGCTACTCTGAGAAATTGGCCACTATGTATGAACACATCTTTTAAAACATTTCCCATTTATTGGCCAAGCATGGTGGAAATCCCAGATATTCAGATGGTGAAAAGTAAGAGGATCACAGTTTGAGGCCAGCCCTGGCAAGAAAGTTAATGAAACCCATCTCAACCAATAAGTAATGTGTGGTGTTGTATGCCTCTGTTCCCAACTATGTGAGAGGCCTAGGGTGGACGGTCACATTATGAGTCCAACTCCAGGCAAAATGTGAGACCCCCCCATCTAAAAAATAACTAGAGCAAAAAACAGGGTTTCATGTGATGAAACTCCTGTTCCTGTCTAGCAAGTATGAGACCTTGACTTAAAAAACTAGTACCATCAAAAAAAAATACATATTTCCAAGTATGCATCAAAGAATATATTTAATACAAAAATGGTATGCAGATAACATATCAGATATGGAAATAATACAAATAAAGATTCATGGATAGATGACTACAATTTGTTTATAGAGAATAAAAATTAGCCAACCAACATGAATTGAAAATGTCATGGCTTCAGTAGGATGGTATCAGCTTCCTTTGGTTATCCAGTGTGACATAGTCATTTCCTAACAGAAATGATTGAAGCTAATAGTTGTATATGCACTTGAGCACATTCATAAAATTGTAGAACTGAATTTCAGGATGATTCAAAACAAGATTTAGTTACTTTTGGGGGGGGGGGTCAGTTGTGGGGCTTGAACTCTGGGCCTGAGCGCTGTCCCTCAGCTCTTCAGCTCAAGGCTAGCGCTCTACCACTTGTGCTACAGTGCCACTTCCAGTTTTCTGGTGGATTATTGGAGATAAGAGTTTCACGGACTTTCCTGCCCAGGCTGGCTTTGAACCACGATCCTCAGATCTCAGCCTCCTGAGTAGCTAGGATTACAAGCATGAGCCACCAGAGCCCAGCTTTAGTTTCTTTATAATGTTTAATAATGACTTTTAGAGTTAGACTGATATTTTAAATTTTTATGTAAAAATAATGCTTTCGATGGCTATTTCATATTTATTTAGAACTGTGGTTTGAAGCTGTAGCAGTTATTTGGGTTAAATATTCCTCTTATTCATGTAAAGCCTGTGTTACAGTATGCTACCTAATAAGAAATGAACACTGATTTCCAGTGTTAGATTACTTTGTGAATTCTATTCTTTGAGAAAATGTCCTAGTGTAAAGATTTTCTCATGAGGATCTTCTATAGAAATCTGACTAGTATTTTTCTATCCAGCACCCAAAATTTGATATTGTTACGATACTACTTAAAGTAGGAGTGTCCATTGAGTGTTATGGCTGATTGGATCTTATGTAACCAAACATTTATAGTAGTTATAACGAAACATTTTCTATGTTCTGAGGCTTATTCAGTATTGTGCAAATTTAAAGGGTAAGCCTCTAAACTAATGCAGAAGTTTGTATGGAAATATGCATGCTCTTAGGATTTCAAAAGTATTTATTTTGATAATACATTGATGTCTTGTTTTTATTTTTTCTGGAATTTTTGTTCTTATTTGGGCTTTTTATTTATATTGTTACTATATAAAATAAAATCATATTAGGCTATTTGTGTAAAAATTTTAGAGAGGGTTATAAATTGCCATTTGCCATATAACATACTTCCACATTTATAAAATGACCAGAAGTATACCTCCAAACAATATAATTATATAGTAAAGTCACCTTTATCTGAGTCTTGATGGTTAAAGGTATATAATTACAGTGGTTACCTCTATAGTTTGTTATTAAGATACCACTTAGCAGAAAATTATTTTCTTTTAACTCGTTTTATTTATGATAAACTTTATGTAATACTATTATAATGACAACTTCAGTTTATAAAATGATAATAAATTATGTTTTGATTTTAGCACATTTTAAATTGTGTGGGACTTTGTATTCAAGGCTTTGTATATGTTCCTTTGACATTCATTTGATAATACTTTATCTTGCTTATATTAGACTGTTACAGTGACCTGGAGAAAGAAATAATGTCACTGATGCTACTATTGTAATTTATAATTCTATTACACAAACTTTTTTATTATGACTCTTAAAACCAAACACATATTTAGATCATTTTCCTTCATAGAGCTTAAATACGAATTTCTCACCTTACTTTCCTATCTGTTTACATTGTTGTTAACTAAATGTTAACCACTTAAATTTTCATTTCTCTCAAGTGAACAGTGGATGGGAAGTCATGCTTAGATAATCCATCATTTTGTTATGTTAATTCTGTGTTATCATTTCAGTAACAATATTTAAAGAGTAGTGTATCATTAATGTCACTAGTTTAGTGTACTTAAAATATTTGCCAAAATTTCTATCTTAACTATCTAAATTTTCTAATATGAAAGTTAGAAGCGAGACCAGTCATGTTTTTCCCATATTAGTATTAATGGTAAAATAACCCTATTTTTGATATGTATCATATAAATAAATTTTAGGAGTAATTTTTAGAGTTATCCTAAAATTAAACTTTAGTATTCATTTGATTAAAGAAAACTCCTTATTGAACAAGAATTAAGAAAGGAATTAGATTCTAGGCATATTTTCTTTCATGTAAAATAAAACAATAATTGACTCTTCCACAAAACAATACAGATGTACAAATAATACAGAACACTCTCAGTGTTTAGGAACAGAGCATGGGATACAGTATTTGCCATTGTTATTTTAGACCACCTATTAAATGTGTTAATTTTTCTAGTCTTTTAGTGCTGGAAAAAAAAACTATGCTTCCCAATTAAAATCTTAATGTTCTTTTTGAATAAACAAGTTTTTCCAAGTTTATCAAGATGACAACTTCAGCTTTTAGTTCTTTTTCATAATACCTGTCACCTCATAAAGATAGAAAATAATGGAACTATGTTCAAATGGTTATGCTTAGCATAAAAGATACCTTCTGTTCCTTTAATTCATGTGATCTTTTTAAGGAGAAATGACGTTAGCAAATCAATTACCTTCTTCATCACTTACCAAAAAAGTAGAACTCATAAAGTAGGAGAAAAAAATGGATTTAACAGTTGATAAAAATATGATAGTTAACATAGTACATAAATGTCACAAGGAAGTAGAAGTAAGAAATTCATACCTTTCCTCTATGCTATTATTTCAAAAATAAACTTTTGCTAAAGTTGTATTTGTATTTCTCAATTATATCAAGTACATGTGCACTTTAAGAAATTTATCAAGCCGTGCTCACGCCTATAATCCTAGCTACTCAGGAGGCTAAGATCTGAGGATCACTGTTCAAAGCCTGGGCAGGAAAGTCTATGAGACGCTTATCTCCAATAAACCATCAGAAAACCGGAAGTGGCGCTGTGGCTCAAGTGGTAGAGCGCTTGCCTTGAGCTAAAGAGCACAGGGACAGCGCCCAAGCCCAGAGTTCAAGCCCCACGGGGGGGGGGGGGGGGGATCCCCCGATCCCCCCCCGGGGGATCCCCCCTGAAATCCTGTTACCTAGAAGTACCTTGCCACTGTTATAATACTTTGCTGGCTTTTTTTTTTTTGTCCAAAATCAGATTTTGGACAATTTTTAAATAATCAAAAAGCAGCTATCTAGCTAAATGAGCAAACTCTTGACTCCCCATTCATTTATTATTGAGAAGCACCATATAAATGCTCCAGCAGTCCAGCCTTTAGCCTGAGATCAAGTGTGTAAATAATATTCACAGTGTTCCAGTCTTATATAAATGACAGCCTCCACCAATTCAGAATTTGAGATAATTCAGACAGTGTCTATTACTGTTGATAAAACCATCTTGTTTAAACTAGGCATAGGTTGCTCACAGCTATAATCCTAGTTGGCTCAGGAGGCTGAGATCTGAGCATCATGGTTCAAATCCAGCCTGTGTAGGAAAATTAATGAGACTCATATCTCCAATTAACCAACAAAAAGCTGGCAGTTATGGCTCAAATGGTAGAGTGCTAACCTTGAGCAAAAAAGCTCAGAAACAGAGCCCAGGCACCAAGTTCAAGCTCTAGGACTGGCATGAATTTTAAAAAAGTCTTTAAACAAATTGGCATAAGTAAGTGTGTGTGTGTGTGTGTCTGTCTGTCGGTACACATATTTGGAGAAATAATAGAATACTGGTTGGAATGTGAGCTTTCATAATATGTAATATCCATATCCTAATGTGTTATGTTTTATGTTAATTCTCAAAAAAAACTTTAAAAATACATATTATTATAAGGTATTATCTCCCAGCATAAAAGGCCAAATCACTTATTATAACTTATAAAAATGAAGTTTAGAAATTTGACTAAAAATAATTGTACTCTTTCTCTGAAAAACATACAGTTGTATTTCTTGTATGGCTCTCTAAATGTTTTATTTCACCAACCTTTGAAAACTGAACTCTTAACTCTAGAGGTGAAATTTGAATTTAGCAACTTTAGTCCAAATGTACCTCAGTTTTAAATCTTCAGGAAGAACTTGACTTAATTATATTGTATTGCTAAGAAAGCAACCATGTAGCCTTATTACAAAGTATGAAAAACAGCAGACCACCCTTTCTCTCAGTAAACAGAATGAAACTTAGGTAACTGTGGTACCATAAGTTAGTTTGCTCCTTATATGGTACCTAGTACTAGACTGTCCTCTAGAAACCTAATTGGTGATTCTTTTTTTTTTCCTTTTTTTTTTTTATTGTGAAAATACTCTACAGAGGGGTTACAATTACATGGGCAAGATAATGAGTACATTTCTTATCAAGCATTGTAGCCTCCTCCTAATTGGTGGTTCTTCTAAAGAAGCAATAATAACTCAGTTGGCCTTTACTAGTCTACCTAGCTGCTGACCACAGTGTAGAGCTCAAGCATTCTTGCTGGTACCCATGGCTCTATAATGCTAGCTACTAGGAGGCTGAGATTAAGGTTTGAATTCATCCCAGACAGACAAATTAGGAGACTCATGTCCAATTCAAAACCAGCTGGAAGTAGAAGTTTTACTCAACTGGAAGAGCACCAGCCTTGAGTGAAAAGCTAAGTAAAAGCACAAGGCCCTGAGTTCAAGCTCCAGTGCTAGAACTGAGATAGATAGATAGATAGATATGTGTGTGTGTGTGAGTGTGTGTGTATGTATGTATATGATTCTAGCTAGAACATACCTTTGAGCAGTGTACTAGGAATACAAACATGATAAATGTATCATGCTGATTGCTGGTGGCTCACACCTGTAATCCCAGCTACTCAGAAGGTTAAGGTCTGAGGATTGTGGTTTGAAGCCACCCAGCAGCAAAGTCCATTATCTCCAGTTATCCAGCAAAAAGCTAGAATTGAAGATGTGGCTCAAGTAGTAGAGCACTAGTCATGAGCAAAGGAACTCCATTTGAATTTAAGCCCAAGCACTGGCACAAAGAGAAAAGACAAGAAACTCATCATATACACCTCTTGTACTTTGAGAAAGAAGTAAAATAAAGCATTATAGGAAAGAAAAATAAGATTTCCTAACCACCTTACATAAACTTGGCATTGCTGGTGCTGATTTATACTTCATCGACACTATTTTCCCAGCCTTTTTCACTTGAGGGTACACAGTGGAAATTATGAAGTTTGTCAGAACACAGTGGAACAGGTAGATGTGGTTGATCTGGTACAGAGAGACTTCCAACAAGCCCCAGCTGTGACAGAGGCCCTGCTCATGCATCCTGTAGGCTGAGGGGATTGATATCTGGACATACTTGTTCTTAGAATCCTAATAGATCCTCAGTCAAACAATATGTTTACAGTATGGCCCGAGCTGCAAACTTCTCACTGGCTTACATGAGTTAACATTAAACACACTTGGATGAGCTGGAAAAAGACCTTGGCATACAAAATTTCAGGAAAACTAAAGTTCTTAGAGGAAAGTAGTTTTGAGTTAGGGTCTATGATTTTGCAGATGTTATTATCTTGAGTCCAAGGGCGATTGAGCAAAAGAAAGTTAAGGAGTGAAAGGTCAAAAAGCAGGAAAACCTTAGAAATAGAAGGGACAGTTTATAGAGAATCAGACTTGGGGACCATTTTGAAATTTAATTTACAAGACATATATTGAGAGTAAAATATCTTAAGACTTGTTACTGTCTTAATGTTTTTTATTACGAATACAGAAGATCTAAACCTAGGCTTAATGCTTTCATTTCTAAATGCATGTGTTCAGGCTTGTATTTCTAAAATGTGAATTAAGTATCTTAGTAAAATTAGTTCTCTAATATAGCATGGTGTCTAATTTTTAATAAACAGTTAAGCTTCAAGTGCAGTTTTTCAGATTTAGAATTTAGAAACTTACACGAGTGTATAAGTAGTAAAGAAGTACTTTAATATCTTAATAGTAACTATTACTATAAAGTAACATGATTTTTATTGCCATATAAACCCTTAGTATGACTTCCTTCCCATTAGAATTCATCTGAAGAATGTAGTTCAAACTGGAAATCAGTCCCTAGACTAGAAGACTTTATTTCATTTATGTTGATAAAGCCTTGTCTGTCATTAAATTCTTGTGATGCATATGTCTTTCTCTTTGAGAATCAAGAAAATAAGCATGACTTGCAAACCCAAAGGTCTGTGTTTAAAATAGGATATAGTTATAGGATGATAATGTCAGACCTATCCCAAATCCGGTAAGGTAAAGAAATTCCCCCTCTCCCTATGTTGGCTCTAGCCTGTTGAATGTAGCCAGAGATGCTTGCTCCCAAATTCTCAGTTTAAAATAGGGGCAATATGTAAAAGTAAAACCATGCTGCACTGATGGTGCTTTCAGATAATTAGATATTTCATATGAATTGATACAGATAAGAATTGCATAGCATTTCTGCTCAAGGATAAATATATTCTTAGTTTTTCATTTATGGATATATAAATGTTAAATTCACTTAAGCCTCCTATTTTTTCATATCTCACTAACGAATTATTATCTGCTGATATATTTTTTTAAACTATCAAAGTATAATTTTGACAACTATAAATTTGAGCTAGGTGCATTTGTTTCCAAGAATGAATCTTTAATCTTCTTTTAAAATACCTTAAGAGCAAATTACTATCCTTTTGAATTTTATAGCACATTTTGTGATTTCAGTTTCATAAATCAATTACTGTCCTCTATTACATTAAAAATTCCTTAATAAAAAGGATACATTTTCAAAGAGCAATGTGTGCCCCTTCTTAAATTTCAGGTAGTGAGGATTGAGCACAGTGCTCTTCAAGTAGCACTGCTGTAATCTTAGTCCTCAGGTTATTAAGCGTATCTAGAAATCCTTCTAATTCTCAGCCTTTAGGTTTATTACGTAAGTTAAGATCCAGTTAATTCTCCAAGATCTTTCCTCTTTGTAAACCCGAGAAATGTTGATCATTCTGCTTTTGCTTTATTGTAATTCTTTCCATTTGTTGCTTTCCTGGTGGGCGAGACAAGTCAGTATTGTTGAAGCCAGTATTAAGCCCCAAATTATAATGCCTTTCTTAATGGGGGAACCCTAAGGCTACTCAAACAGTCCATTGAGGGGATAAAAGAGATGGCTCATTCCCATCCAGTTTTGTTTACAAACGGTGTTGCTCAAATTTAGGTGACTGGCTACTAGGGAAATAAATGAATGTGGAATTGAGGATGGAACAAAGAATTCAATGCTTTACAATAAATGGACTATATTTGAGAGTTCAAGAAAGGAGTGGAGAAAATAACTGAGTATGTAAAGACATGGTAAGTTTCTGACCATTCAGTTGAAGGCAAGTGGCTGGCCCGATGAAATGACATAATTGATAGTTTTCATCTGTGACCCTGATTTCTCAGAACTGAGAAATGAGCAGAATTTATCAGAAAGGATTTTCATTGCTAGTATCTTTTGTGTGTGCATGATGTGTAGTACACACAGCTCTCCTTATTGATCCTTCACCAGGTGTATTATTTACTTTGCCTTCCAGGTGTCCGCAAATATGGTAAAGATTTTCAAGCTATTGCAGATGTAATTGGCAACAAGACTGTTGGCCAAGTGAAGAACTTCTTTGTAAACTACAGGCGTCGGTTTAACTTAGAGGAGGTATTGCAGGAGTGGGAAGCAGAACAAGGAACCCAGGCTTCTAATGGTGATGCTTCTACTTTAGGGGAGGAGACAAAAAGTGCTTCTAATGTGCCATCAGGGAAGAGCACTGATGAAGAAGAGGAGGTGTGTTTGTGTCTGGAATTTGAGCTAATATGAGTTGAGGAGGCACCATTTTGTGTTCTATAAGGTTAATTTGTAAGAAAACTAGCTAAATGAGCATGCAAGGTTGACAATACACTTAATGGCGTATCTCTTGTGACTCTTAAGTCATAATGACTTGCTAATTTCTGATTCTAGCAGAATGGAAAGTGTATTGTTTTCCCATAGTCTTATTTTTATTTCCAGTGTTAAGCTGCTTACTAATAAAGATGTCTGTTTGATAGCCTCATTGCTTTGTTGGTTTTTGTTTTGTTTTGTTTTTGTTTTACTTAAAATAAAAGAAGCTTATGCTTCCAATAAACAATGGTGTTATGTTTTTGTTTTATTTTGTTTTGTTTTTCCTGTGACAGCCCAAACTATATTGTATTAAGTTTGTTAGGACATACATCTCATACATGTATTTTTGTTTCCTCACCTCTAGGCACAGACCCCACAGGCTCCTCGGACTCTGGGTCCATCACCTCCTGCCCCATCATCCACTCCAACACCAACAGCCCCCATTGCCACTCTGAACCAGCCTCCACCACTTCTTCGTCCAACACTGCCTGCTGCCCCTGCTCTTCACCGGCAGCCTCCTCCACTCCAGCAGCAGGCTCGGTTCATCCAGCCCCGGCCAACTCTAAATCAGCCTCCACCACCTCTCATTCGGCCTGCTAATTCCATGCCACCCCGCCTAAACCCAAGACCAGTGTTGTCCACAGTTGGTGGTCAACAGCCACCATCACTTATTGGAATTCAGACAGATTCACAGTCCTCACTGCACTAAAAATTAAATTGGACAGTGCTGCAGTAACTTTACCCCACTATTATACCAATGCTCCTCTGACTGATGTAAAAGAGGAAAGAATAATCTTTCCTAGATTCTGAGTTCTGCAGAATTAGTCTGCAGACTAGATCTGTGGCAGTGGACTAGTATTCATGGATGTCTGATTTTTCAGTTCACTAAACTAAAATGTTATACAACAAAAAGCCTCCAGTTAGCCTCCTTTCTAGAATGTTTTCACCATTGTGATCTCATGAAAGGAAAAAACAAAAAAAAATTTAGTATTCTGTATACCAAGGGTTTTTTGTTTTTTTTTTTACTATATTTATTTTATTAAAGTTCTTTCTATTCCTGCCTCTTCATAGTCAAGGCTCTTAGTACCAGAATATTAACTTAGGAATTGTGAGAACACCTTAAGTTTCTTAAGGATATTTGGCTTTTTTCTTCTTTTATTTAATTTTTAAAAACATTTTTCCTATGTTAGGAGTGCAAGAATAAATAGTTGGCATCTCAGATTTTGATATATGTTCATTTTATTCCTATTTTTAAAATTATAGATCTATATCCCTTTTTTCAAAATATGTTGCTTTCTTCCTAAAGGATTATAATGTATCCCTTTAAAAGAAAGCAATTTAATCAATTGCAAAGCAATTATATGAAACCACAAAGAATGTATTGACCCTACTACCCTTGAACATACAGTTTAGGGTTCTAGTGCAAAGTCCTTGTTTAAAGGTCACTGACCTCACCATCTGTCATTAATAAGAGGTTTGGAATACTAATTTTACATATAAATGAGGACTTAATTTGTTGAATTATAATGTCTTTTAAGATCCTTGAAAATGTAGTTAATTTTGGAAAAAAGTTTATGTTTCTAAATGCTACTTGCTTTTAACTAGTACTTGCCTACATTTACAGACTTTAGAAAAAATTCTATTTTGTCAGTTATGTAGAGATGGTGGTTAATAGAAGCATTTATTTACAATACCATTTTTTGTGTTTAGCTTCTTAAGATTGCCCTCATACTTATTAATATAGTCTGCATTTAATATGAAGGGTGTGTTCTTGATAAATCTCTATTGTACTACTTGGATACATTTGTGTATTCCTGGCAGCCAACCTGTACTTGTGGGTTTGATTTAGGGTTAAATCACCAACATTGTTTCATAAAATGAATTTTAAAATTTGTTCTGTGTTATCTAAAGGTGTATGAGTATATTGCCATAATTGTGTTGTTTACTTGAGACCCTTTTTATAAAGAAAAACTTCAAGAAGTCTTAATTCAACAAATAATCATTAAGCACCTGCAAAAATTATTTTAGAAGTGGTAGTATTTCAACAGTGTGTAACCAGTATTTTTGACAGAATGATTTCATATTGGAATCATGACTTGTGCAGAGGGACACTTAGATTGCAATAGTAGTGAAACATAAGGCTGTTTTGCACATTACCTTATCACACTTAAAGCTACTTCACTAAACAGTCAGCATCATATGACCTAATTTAGGTTTTGAGAGGTCATGTATTCCCACAATACTGGAAAAAATAATCCCTTCCATTGGCTCTATTCCTTACAGGGCTATTGGTTTATCCATTGGTATTAATTTTCAAATTAGACGATTTCCTTTACATAAAGACACTTCAGACAAAGATCAAAAACATCTTGTGCAGTATATATCCCATTTACTCATTGGATCATCTTAAATAGTTCTTGTCCCTGGATCATACCAGCTGAAATATAACTGATTTTAAATAATGCTAAAGAATTTATACATATTTTACTTTAAAAGCCATGGGGGACAGTTATATCCTAAAGCATTTAGATTGCCTTGCATATGTGCATACTAAACAGCTTTTCTTGTCTGGTCTTTAGTCAGTAGACCTTCAGTACACAGTACCTAGGGTATGTCAGTCAAGTTGGTCAGCACCAGCATCTGTCCAGCTGTTCAGTGTATTGTAACTCATTTAAAATCTGCTCTTTCCAAGACATGGGCCAAGTGCTGTATCTGAGGGATGTGGTGTAATCTTATTTACATACACTAGAGCACACAGTAGAAAAACCTTAGCTTCATTAGTAATATGACATGTATATAGTGAGATGTCATTATTGTGTGCTTTGCATATTTTGTAAATATTTTGCACGTCATTATTTTCCTTTTTTGTTTAAGCAGTGTTTGGCCTGGAAGAATAATATGCTTGCTGCTTAATCAAAGGATTAAAGATTTAAAGATGTCTATGTCTTCTATTTTTATATAATTTTATGTTGTATGAAGAATTTAGGACCTCTTCACTGTGAAATTCTAAATAATTGATTTTTATAAAAGCAAAACATAGAAGTCTTTTAATGACCGTTTTCATTAATTTCAAGATTATCTTTTGAAAAAAATCTACACCAAAGTGTTTTTATTACATAAGTAAAAATAAACCATGCTGTTGATGCATCTGGAAAAGTTAATGAAAAACTTTTTCTATATGACTTAATTCCAGTGTAATATGGATGGAGGCAAAGGTTAAATTATGATCAAGATTTGTTCTTAATCTTACAATTAAATGAGAAAAATAGACTATAAAATAAAAGTGAAAGATGTAATATCTGTCTTAATATGGGCCTACATTCTTATTAGGAAGAGATGTAGGAAGTAAACCCAGGAGTGTAATAGTCCTTTTAAAATTTTGAGATATTTGGATTAAAATTGCCATTATTAAATACATTGTATTTTCCTCCTGTTATTAAGAGAATATTACCCTTGAGTATTAATAACTGCTAAGTACTGAAGATAGGGATGCAGGATCTTCCCAAAAGAATAGTAATTGGACTTAGAAATCTGAGCAGAATTTATCTTTCTCTGTATGTATTCCCAAAATAAATGGTGGATATAGTCAGATTACAATAAGTTTGAGAAAAGACCCCAGAATGAGTTACTAGATTTTTTAAAATATAATTTTATTACTACTTTTTGCTGATATGGTACTGAGGAATCAAACCCAGGGCCTCATGCATGCTAGGCAAGCACTCCACCACTAAGCCACATTCCCCTTCCCAAGTTACTATTTTTATTTAATTTTTTATTTCTTTTTATTTGGGGTGGGGAGGAGTGGCCAATCCTGTGGTTTGAACTCAGAGCCTGAGTGCTATCCCTAGCTTTTTGTACTCAAAGCTAATGCTCTACCACTTGAACCACAGCTCCACTTCCAACTTTTTTTGTGTGTCAGTCATGGGGCTTTAACTCTGGGCCTGGACATTGACCCTCAGCTCTTCAGCTCAAGGCTAGCGCTCTACCACTTTGAACCACAGCGCCAATTCCACAACTTGTTTTTAATTGGAGATAAGAATCTCAGAGAATTTCCTGTCAGGGCTGGCTTTTTGAACCATGATCTTAAGATCTCAGCCTCCTGAATAGAATTACAGGCAAAAGCCACTGGCACCGGGCTTAGATATTTGAACCTAGACATTTATTATAAGAAAATAATAAATGGCTATTGGAAGAACCTAGGAATGAATTTTATAAATAAGAGGAAATGCTATAAGAAACTAATTTTAGGATAGCTAATACGTGGGAATGTATAAATATTTCTGCTGAGAAAAAATAGGTCACAGACTCTGGTTTCTATCTTGATAACTGCCTCAGTTAAAGAATATTATGCAGTTGCATACTCTAATAATGGTGTTTGAAAGTTAAACATGAAGGAATAAAATGTGTGAATTTGTGCTTTAAATATCATGTGGCCTTATCTACCCTACCAGGGTACTCTATGCTCTTAAAGAAGAAACAGTGAAGACATGAAATTATTTTTTAATTGAAATCTTTGACAATTGTAATTAGCAAATAAAATAAGGTATGATAAGGCAATAGGTCTTACAACGTGCTAACTTTTTAAACTTTAGAGTCCTAAAGCAAGATACAGGTGAGGAATTTGTAAAGAAAAGATGGTATAAAGTGAAACCAAAGAGCAGTCTTCACAATGTAAAGAAAACAGAACCTAATGTAAAGAACACAGAACCTAATGTTCCAGAATGCTTTAAGTAACATCTTTTTTAAGTTATTTTAAGAAATGTTATCTGCATAATTTAATTTTATGAGGAACAATTACCAATAACAAAAAAGATCCTGAATAATACCACACCACGAGATATTTCTTTGGGATTCTGTCTAGCTTTTTGCTTGTAATAGCTTTCTTATTTAACAGGATTTGACTTGCAGAGGGCTTTACCCACAAAATCATTTTTGCTAACATATTGACTTCACCCATGCCAAAGAATTTGAAAACAGAATGATGAGCGGCTTGTCATCTGGTTTATATTTGCAATAGTAGTTGCATGACCCTTTCCTAATTTTACGCAACAATTTCCTTAACCTGTCTCAGCCTCCTTTTCCTCATTTGAAAATTGGAGACAATATTATGACTGCCTAGTATATGCTAGAGTTTTTTTTTTTTAACTTGTCCTTTATAGCCTTACTTAGGAAAATGTGTGTTTGGGCAACGTTTTTAATTTAAAGGCAATACAAAGAAGAAAAATTCCAGTGGCTCATGCCTCTTACCCTAGCTACACAGAGGCTGAGATCTGAAGATCACCATTCAAAACCACTCTGGAGAAGAAAATACATTCATCTCCAGTTACCACCAAAAAGCCAGAAGTGGAGCTCTGGCTCAAGTAGTGGAGCAAAAAAGCCTCAAGGACTATGTCCAGGCCCTGACTTTAAGCCCTCTCAAACTCTTACTGAAATTACAAGACCTATAAAAAAAATTCTTAGCAGTATGAGAAAGACAAAGAGATACTGCTAGAAAGATGGGGATAAATTTATGACAAACCGCCACAGAATTAAGGAACTTTTCAACTCCATGAAGACAAAAGGTAGATTGGGAAAACTGGTATCAGAAGAATCCCATAAAGAGACAGAATCCCATTAGCAGGTAGAAGTAGAACAGCCTCCAGTGATTTCTGCCTCCTACTATGCCCTTGTGTGTGGGCTAGACCTAGTGACTTACACAAATAGCGTAACATTGAGGTTTATTTGTCAGTTTGTCCCTGAATGGGCATTTCATGAGCTTATACTGTTCCTTATGAACACATCAGTCTTTTTCTGAAATGGAGGGTGTTACTAAAGGTTACAAGAACACTCACTACTTGTAGGATAAGTACTTTAAAAAAAAAAAAAAGACTACTGCCTAGATTATCCTCCTGGTTATCAATCTATTACAAGATTGACGTACCAACCTTATTATCTCCAGGATTCCTAAATGGAAATAACTTTAAAGTCTATTTTTTGATGGCATATGGTAACTATACAGAATTGATATGCTAAAATGTTTTCCTAACCAGTAGTAGTGGTGGCATGTATAAGTATTAAGAGAACTATGCCACACCCAGGTATATAAGGAAGACAGCAGGCCGAAATTTAGGACAAAAATACCTAATTTCTCCAACCAACTAGCAGCCAATGAAACCACGAGGATAAATGAAAAAGGTGGAAGTATGGATAAAGCAAGAGATGGGAGCTGGGACAAATACAGAACCTATATATATGCACACGTATAAGTTTATACAGTATAGATAATAAAATGAAGCAAAGTACAGCAAAACAAATATGGGTGTTTCTGAAGTTCCTAAGCTAAGACTGCAGCTGCTGCGTTGGAAAGGGTGGGTTTGTTGTTGTTTTTAATTTTACTTTTGGAGAGGATTCTCTCCACTCCACCCTACCCTACTTCCTGCCACTCTTGTGGTTGTCAGCACAGTGACAAGCAGACTGAAGCAATTTATTTGGTTGAAGCAAAGGGACCAGGTATTATTGGGTCAGAAAGAGAGAAAATCCATAGGGAAGCTGACCACCAGTGGCTCATAGCCACTCAAAGAACAGATCTGAGGATCATGGTTCAAAGCCAGCCAAGACAGACAAATGCAAGATACTCTTATCTCCAATTAACCAGCAAAAAAGGCAGAAGTAAAGGTGTGACTTAAGTGATACAAAAAAGTCAAGCCAGAGAATGAGGCCCTGAGTTCAAACCCCAGTACTAGGACAAAAAGACAAAAAAAAAACCCTACAGACATTCATATTCTTCCTTAGTGCAACACCTACTTGGTAGCAAGTGAGCATTCTGTGTGCAAAGCACCCTGAGGTTTGCTTTTGGTCTGAGAATGGTTGCTGCTCTATCACACTTTGCATGTGGTCTATGACAAGCAAGGACTTTCCGTTGTTGCTTGTAGTGGAGGTTAAAGGTGCAACCTAAGACCCAAAGGGAGGATTTTTCCTTCTTGTCTGATCATTGGTATCTGAGTGATGGAAAGTATGACTGTCCTGTTCAACAACTCAACAGCATTCATCAGTCTTGGAGCCAAAGGGCAGCCTGTGGAAGATAATACACCTATTTGCTATTCCAGTAGGTGGCAACCTCACCTCTCTATCCGCCCACCTTCATGTTAACAGCCAGGACTACATTCTACCAATTTATCCAGAAATTAAACATCTGAAATTCTTGTCTTTTGTTAGTGGTGTCTAGATATTCTCTATAGAAAGTTAATTTCAAAGGCTGGATTCTGCCTAAAGTGAGATAAAATGTTCAGCCCAATATCAAATATTTTCAAAACTCACTAAAATATATCTTAATCTAAAGAGCACCCGAACATGATCCCCAAGGTTATATTTTACCTGCTTCAAACTAATAATTTTGCTGATTATGGAAAATTGTTCAATGGCTAAGTTTTCACATCTATAAAATAGGATTGATGATTAGGTTGATGTGGGTTAAATGTTGAATATATTATCTTGTAAACAAGAGTTAGTGTTTCCCCTCTGTACGGTATTTTCACAATTAAAAAAAGAGTTAGTGTTACATTTGCAAGTATTTCATGTTTGTTTTATATGGTTATTGATGTCATATCCCATTTGCTTTTAAGATTTTTTTTTTTTTTAGGAAAGAAATCGTGTCTCCTTGGTACGACTGGGCTGGATCCCAGGATCTATCTTCTCTGTTCTCCAGACATCCTTCCCAGAATGCTGGAGTCAACAGGGAGACTTGGAACAGGTCTTTGATTTCTACCTAATTTCATCAAAAAAATCCTTTATCTTCCCACTTAGACTCCTATTGCCTTAATTCTGGTGGGTATTATTTCCCACAATGATAAAAGATTTACTCTCTATCCCAGCCTAGGTTTTAATCATATTTAAAGCTTGGGAATCATTTTTGGAACAAGTTGACTGCTTCTTTCAGATGTAGGGGAGAAAAATGGGGAGACACAACTGATTCACAGTTCAATGGCAGTATCAGAGCCCTAGGATATGCATGTGGGCATACTAGACATTAATGTTCCAGCCACTGGAAGGACCCTTACCACATGTACTTGTATTAAGCTTGGGGGTAATGAGAAGAGAGTCAAGAAGCAGGTAACCATACAGAAAGTCAGATGGTATGGGAAAGCATACATCTACACTGTGTTAGGCATATAAGAATGCTGCCTCATTCAATTCGCACCAGATTATAATCTACATCTACAGTCCCTCAGCATTTCCCCCAGGTGGCAGCTCAGTTACCAAAGGTTTGAAAATGAATTTCTGGTTTTCATTGAAAAATAAGACATCAGGTAACAA